ATCCATTTGTGTAGTTACCAGTGCGTTTTGGTTGGTGTAGCAAATTGCAAAAATGAAAATATAGTTATCCATCCATCCGTTATCTGAACTGCTTTTTGTCACGAGGGTCGTATGCTGGAGCCTAACCCATCTGACTTTGGGGCCAGCAGCGGGCTACACTCTCAACTGGTCGCCAGCCAATCGCATGGGACATATAGTTTGTCGACAAACACAGCCAAACACACGTTTACGCTCACAGTCACACCAGTAGGGTGTGAAACAAATTTTAGTGCAGGGGACACATTCAGTACCGGGTTCAACTCCAGCTCCGGCTTCCCTGTCTGGAGTTTGCATGTTCTCCACGGGCCTGCGTGGATTTTCTCCGGGTACTCCGGTTTCCTCCCACATTCCAAAAACATGCATGGCAGGCTGATTGAACACTCTAAATTGTCCCTAGGTGTGAGTGTGAGCGTGGATGGTTGTACATCTCTGTGTGCCACGCGATTGGCTGGCAACCGGTTCAGATGGATGAATGGGACACATTCACATTTGATCTAATGTGGACTTGACCAGTTAGTTTATTCAAGGCCTCATACGATATAATTAATGGCAATACCAAACCCTAATTCTAATCTTTGTAAAGGCCAATTATTGATTCTGCTCTTCGAGTGGGTCTCATTTGATTTTGATTGTGCAATACTGTATGTCCGCGCAAGAGGTTACACAGAGAAGAAGACACATGATACTGTACTAACAGTGCATTTACAGTACACGTCTTGTTACTCTATCCTAGAAGCTGCGTCCTGTTTGTTAGAGTCTAAGCTGTTGGTCCAATTAAATGGTTAGGTGCAATGAAACTCATGAATGAGCCCCTCGAGAGAATCTCCCTGCGGAACTCTTAACAGGACCACTGAGTATCTCTTACATAAATGATGAAGTGCAGATGCCTGCTGCAATACGGCTGGCCACCTTCATGTTTTATGCAGCCAACTTCTCCCCTTCCGAAAATGTACTTTCACCACTCTCGAGCATTCAGTTTATTCGCACAGGTGCGTAGAGTAGTCACAAATTTTATTCAAGTAAGCATGCTGTTACTTTTGAATAATATGACTCCCACCCAGGTACTCCTACTTGGGAGATCATTCAAATTTTTTCAGAGGTTTATTTGAGGGAAAGTAAAGATATCACCATACGTTTTGGTGACGATTAATTGCCAATTTCGCACATTAGGTGATGCTTAGATTCTTAGAGTACAGGTTTACACTGTCACGGTGTGTCGCTGTACAGCAAGGGACGAGGGACGTATTACATTAGTGTCGGCAACTATAGAGCCGTTTGAACTGCTTAATACAAGACTCATGGGGGCCAAAAACGCTTTGGAAATGTAAAATGGAATCCATATTCTTTTGCTTTTTCTTGTCATTTCTGTAGCAGACAATTGGTGAACCAAGTCAAAGTGATATGTAAGCCCATCCGCCTTATTGTTTGTGGCTTTAATATTAGCCATAGATTGTGCAAATAATATTGTAAAATCGAGGTAGTGTGACAACAAAAGCAATAGTCTTTGTCTTTGTTTAGTCTTTGCTTGATGATACTTCTCCAAAGAGCAAATGAAGGAGGCATTTGAACAATTTGCTACACTTTGCCACATTCAATAGGGATGGAACTCTTAACTTGAAGTATGTCTCCTAATGCTGAACATATTTACTTGAGTATTCAGTGGGGGGGGGGGGGGTAATTAGTGAGTCACTTCTGACTTATTTTTTTAATCAAAGCATGAATGTCAACCAGACAAAAAATTTAAATGTGACATTCTGTCTCTCAAAGATCATTTATGTCATATTCGCACAGAACCTCTCATGGAGACGTGTGGCGATGCTCAAGAATTGTAACTTTTAATTTCTTGTTTTTTAGCACTAAATGACGACCGATACATTCTGCGCAAAACCAATTCAGAAACATGTTTTCTACAAGCAGGCCTGTTGCTCCCCAAGGTTCACGTGACTCATCTGAATGAAAATACCATCTGCCCAATGCCTAATTTCCATTTCACACACAAGACAAAAAAAGCATCCAAAAATAAGATGATTGCTTCACGATTTCATTGTTAAATACATTTGGACAGAGGTAACTATGCTGTGTTTTAAAAGTCTTCTTTAGACTGCCATTCACAAACTGTACAGCATCTTTCAACACCCACTTCAATAGTGATAACGGTCAATACATTGCCATGGCAACAACATTTTCATCTGAACAACTGCCTCACCACCCACAAAAGGTTCAACAGCAACCCAGCAGCATCTCCCCTTCTGAGTTTTTCTATTTAAGGAGCCAAGGAGGAGGAATTATAAATACCAAAACAAAAGAAGAAATGGGGAGGACAATTTATTGACTGTTAAACAAACAATATGGGGTAATTTTCTATCAAATAACAGCTTCAAGATAATGTGGATGGCACACTATTTTGTAATCTGTGTAGCTTTTCATATAACACGCTTTTTTTTTTGAACACGCTTTTTTTGTTAGAGACAACATATAACTTTTATGGGCATAAAAAAGACAAAGAAAGAAAAGCACATAAAGATATTGGCTTTTGGCGCGCCGTTCTTCAAATTGCGAATAGCGCAGATTGGTCTTGATGACGTCATCATTCAGGGACGAGGAAAAATGTGACCAAAAATTAGTCACATGGTGGATTTAACTCCGCAATATGGATAATGTTGCTGAATTTTGGGACGTGAATCCTGCAGTTAAGTGTTTCTATTTTTGCTGAAATGTCGTAAAACTTTTATTTAAACCTAGTATAAATAAAAGTCCCGCGATCCTCGTGAGGATAGACGGATTAGAAAATGGACAGATAGATGGACAAACAAGTTTTACTACTTCAATCACTCGAACACGGTAACTGTCGGATTACTTTTCAATAAAAATCAACAGTGCTATCGATGAATGTCAGGGTTTCCGTAGTGTAGTGGTTATCACGTTCGCCTAACACGCGAAAGGTCCCCGGTTCGAGACCGGGCGGAAACATGTTTTCCATTTTGTTCCTGGGATATTATAAGCGTGCAGGACAGTTTTGTGCATTTATTTAGTCGTAATTAGATTTGTGTTCCTCGCTATATGTCATAATTTGTAATGCTACTTGTATATTTGGTGAAATTTACCTGATTCATTCAATACGTTCACGTTTTTGGAAGGCTAATTGCTCCCTAATATTTACATAAAATAATTTAGATTGTTTTGATTCCAATTTATTAGCATGATGATTGTGAGATTTTCGTAAAATGTAAAATGTAATTCTTGTGGTCCCGAACTGCAAATCACAAAAACAAATAACAAAAAATGTCATCACAAACACAACTCAAAAAACACAAAACACTACAGCAAATCAAAGAAACAACCAAAAATAATTGCAAATAACACTTAAAAAAAACTCAATTGAACTGCTGCTGCAAATAAAAAGACAAAGCAAAACAACCAAACAACTGAAATGCAGGAAAAAAACCCATAAAATCAAAAAGGAAACAAAACGGCAAATCAAAAATCACCCAAAACAAACCATCAACAAAAATTTCGAACAAAAACACATTACCGGAATTGGTTGGTAGGTGGGCGGAGAGCAGTGTGAATCAGACTCACAGCTGATTGGATGAGAGAGAGAACTTCATTGGAGGTACACAATGGATATGCTCAGGATTCATCACAACATTCAAACAAGTTTGCACACGCTGAAAACACATTTAAAATATGTTGGGCTGCATAATTACTCGGTATTCTTTGCCAGCCGAGGTGAAACAAGATGTGCCATTGTAACTGTTTGGTTATCTCACCAGTTGGCAACTTTTTCAACAGAAAGTTGAGTGTTTGTGCTGCAGCTATAACCTGTGTGTTTGTGAGGGCAGGAACTTGCACATTAGGTTAGAGCTAGTCGTACATGTTCGAACATGCTGTATTTGCAAACGCGTTCAAACATATTTTTGAATTCGTAGGGGGCAGTACTAAGCCATTTAAAAAATGAACAGTAAACTAATAAAATATGAGTGTGTGCAAAGTTTTCCCCGCATGTTAAGACCCTTAAAATTAGCATTGTTTTCTTGGCGAACAGCGCTTTGCCATAGCAACGCCGTTTCACGAAAACTCACGAACTTCGTGGTTTAACATCATGAAGGCCTAAACCAGGGGTGGGCAATTCCAGTCCTGGAGGGCTGCTATCCTGCATGTTTTCCACCTCTCCCTGTTGCAACACAAATGGCCACATTATTACAGTTGCTTGGCCATTTAATAACAAAAGTTAAACAGAAGGAATTGGAAAGCGCTCCACTTCATGTCAAGGTCATGTCAATGTTGGTGTTTGAGGCGCAGCCTCATGGATATTGATGGCTGCATACAGAGACAATCACCCACGCCAATGTGACCATTCCCATTGGCTCATCAGGTAAGTTACCCCATCACATTTCCCAACCTGCTCTCTTCTCTGTCCTTTGTCACCTCTACCCTCCTCAATGGAATTTCTAGCGGGAGGTGTGAGAATGGAAAGTAAAGGAGCGAGAAGCTGAAACGTGCAATAGAGAAATTAAATGAGCCCATAGTCAATGTAGTCCGCTCAAAGCAACCCCAGTGAATAAACACGAGACACGCTGCATGAGTTGTTTGTGAAACGAGAGTCCATCAGTGATGGACTGGGAAGGTCTGTCGGTACCGACTCAGATAGTGACAATTCCAGTGACGGATGAAAAGCCACTTCCGTTGGTGTATAGCCTGTCAGTTTTTTAAGTTTCCTCTTATTTGTCAACAAAACATGTGCCCATCAGTGACATACTCTATTGACAGACCTTTCATCAGTACTGACAGAATGCCCACCGCTACCATTATGGTTCCACATGAACTCTGTAGGGACAAGGTTAGTTCAACTCTGTGCTATAGCGTTGGTTTCATTATACAAATGCTGCAAATGGACGTGTTGTCTTCTCTTATGCACGCTTATTCAGTCATTCTAATAGCACAAGCTATTTCTTCTCTAGTGTGGAAGTGGAGTCGCATTGTCCCGGGGAGAGGGGCACAAACAAGGACAGCACTTTCAGCAAGACACCTTACCTGCGCGGCTCAGAACACTACGGTGACAGCAACAGCAGCGTGACTGCCCCCGGCTCCAGAGGCCCCTCATGCGTGGCAGTCTCCAGTTCAGCCAGCTTGGCCTGGGCGCTGCGAACACGCCACCAACCAGCCAGCCTAGCACTTCGTAAGCAGGAAGAGGAGGAAAACAAGAGATGCAAGGCTCTTTCAGACAGTTATGAACTTTCAACTGATCTACAGGATAAGAAGGTACCAAAGACAGCAACCCACTTCAAGTGAAATTATCCCGGCTAAATTTATGTGAGAAACCATGTTCTAATTTCATCTGAGCATCATGTTTTTTGTTGTCTCGAAAATCTACTTGAGTAACTCGCTTACAGTTTAATATCACTAAACCTTTTCTCATATGTCAATTCTGTAAATTGCCATTACAATATTGTATATTGGAAAACCAATAATAGTTCAAAGCAGGATGGGAGTGAGTAATCTGTTCATTCTATTAAATTCCCACTGGGCCAGGCTGCAATATACAGTGTTTGGGCTCTTACTCCCATACGGCCATTAAATTTTTTTTCAGCCCACACGTTAGTTCCTTCTGGTCCCCGGATCCATTTTGAAATAACAACTATGTGCGGCGACATTTTATTGTACTAATACATTTCTATTGATTCACACGGGACATTATATATACCTGTAGCACTGGCTGCCTACCTTTCTTACTAAGGGTGTCACCAAGTCACAGTAATTTAATACACGACTAGGAACAACAGCACTGTCTGGCCAAATGATACATTAATGAGGAATGACACAATCACAAACGTTACTTCTAACGACAGCAAAGCTTGACGGGAATAAATTAGGGCTGGGCAAGTTCCGATACCACGTATCATATCGGGTCGAGATCAGCCCTATTAAGCTATTGAGTACTCATGGAGGTTGCTGAGACCAACCACCAATAATTAAGGCAAAAAAATCTGACATTGACTAATTTCTATTTGGCAGTAGTTGGTGCTATACTGCGGCAAATTGATACATCAACAAATCATCTTCTGCATCCAAAAGACAGGTCTTTGTTCAAATTTTTTGTCATTGGGCTATATGAAATTTTGTATATTAACAGTACTAGAGGTATTGGTACACGCTATCATTGAGTACTCAGAGTGAATACTGTACTGGTATCAGTCTGAAAAAAAGTGGTATGGAACATCCCAAGAATAAACTAAACATCAAAACCGAAATAATTTTAAAAGATGAATCTGTCAAGTGTCATATTTTGTTACTCAAGACTATTCACAGAGGGGCTTATTTAAAAGCTGATTAATTAAAAAGTTACACTTTTCCAGAGCAAGTCAAATGTTAATTATTCAAGATTTTATTCCTCCTGGGAAAAAACAGTGCATGCTAAACAACTACCGGTAACTACACAAAACAAATATTTTCTTTTTGGCTTAAATAGTACAGTATAAAGATGCTAAATATGAAATAATCATTGAAACTTATTGCATTTATGACATACCATGACTATATGGGTCCAGTACCAGTTAAGACAAGGCAACACTCAAAAAGGCTTGAATGGGAAAGCAGGAATACTGTATGTTTCAGACCATAAGTCACACTTTTTTATTCGCTTGGCTGGTCCTGCAATTTATACTCAGGTGTAACTTGTCTATATATTATTTTTATTATATTATATTCAGATTAGAGCTCTGACTTGCACCAAAAATTCACGTCCCCTAATCGTATTGACGGCAGCGAACAAGTTGGATTGGGATGGGAAACTTCTGCTTTTAACGATGGAACATTTTTTTTTCTTTTTAGATTAAAATGGCTTACCTTAAGTGGAATCCCGAATTGCATTGTGGCAAAAGTTGGAATGTTGTTTGGGAGATGCTGCATGCTAAACTAGAGAGCTAGGTGGTGTTTCTGACTGTGAGAGGTGTCAGCAAGCTAACGACATATATCACACATTAGTTGCCATGACTACTACTTCTTCTTCTGCTTCCGCTTCCATTTCTACTTCCACTTAGCTTTCGGCGGTTGGCAAACACTTTTGGTGAGGGTTCCTGGTTAAGGTAAGCCATTTTAAAGATTTAAGAGAAAATTTTCCATAGTTGGAAGCATTTCGAATCGAACCTGAACTCATTCGCTGCTGTCAACATGATTAAGTAATAGTGATTTTGAGTGTGAGTCCGGTCTGTGCTGTTCTTGGTATTGGTTTTTGTGCAATAATTCCCCCCCAAAATATGACTTACAGTCCAGAGTGGCTTATATATTATATATTTTTTTCTTCTTCATGGTGCATTTGTTGACTGGGGCGACTTATTTACTGTGAAAAATAGTGTGAAAAATATGGTTGATTTACAGTATTATTGCAAAGAAAATTTGGGACTTGAGATTGCCTTTACTGTCAGAACCTTGTTTCCAAATGGCCATCTTGTACATAGTACCTGAATATAATGCATGGGTAAAAGTATCACAGAGAAAATATTTTGGGTAGAAGTAAAAAGTCACCCAATGGCCAAGTTGGGCACACTGGAAAGAGCATCACACTGAATTGGATTGCAGCATTAAATCACGATACACATACTGTCCAATAAAAAGCAAAGTAAAGTGCAGATATGCACATTCTATTTAATTCCAGTAGCTGTTACATGACAAAACTGTCCAATGGTCAATGCATAATAATCTCTTCCCAATCTCCCTAGGTGGAAATGCTGGAGAGAAAGTACGGGGGCTCATTTGTGAGCCGGAGGGCAGCCAGGACCATTCAGACAGCCTTCAGGCAGTATCGCATGAGCAAGAACTTTGAGCGCCTCCGAAGCTCTGCCTCAGAGAGTCGGATGACACGTCGCATCATCCTGTCCAACATGAGGCTTCAGTATTCTTTTGATGAGCGGCAGCCTCAGCAGCAGGCCCAGACGCAAACCAACTTCACCCACAGTGTGGCCATAGGTCCTCCTCATTCCCCTGACACCGATCGCACGGGAGCCTATACCCACTTAGAGGACTCCTTCTGCAAACAGGTCTCCCATTTTTTTTTCTATCCTTTCGACCTCAAAGTCACCTGCTTCTTTTCATATGTTCACGTTTGTCTCAGCAGGGTGTTTACAAGAGTCACACTGGACAAAGAAATAAAAAGAAAGCTTCTTGACAAGTTCATTTGTAAAAGCATTACGTTTTGGAAACTTTTTAATTGGATTGGTAGATTCTACTAAGTGGCAACACCACACATTGCTCTCGAGATAAGTCACCGGATCCGAGTATTGTATTTCTGTCAGCACTCACTAATGAATTTTTAAAGACTCGACAAAGAGAAATTCTGAGATTTGTCTCAAAATACATTACACATCTTTGAAGATAATTGCTGAAAATTTGCAGAGACTGTGAAGTATATAATTTTCAATTTAGAGATGTACTCTAGCATTCATCTTTCTGGTTTCTACACATCCCTAAATGTTTGACTCGCAAAAATAAAACCACCTAACATCCTTAGTGGCTGGAATATATCCCACCAGGTTGTTGAAGGGCTGTCCTTGTGACAAGAGTCACTAACCACCAGCTAGCTTGCAGGTTAACAGGTTTCTCGGGCTCCTCCTGGCTGGTGGAGAGGTGGCGTGCTCCACCACAGCATAACCTCCTCATGTAGGAATTTAAATAATGATGCCAAGTTGTTTTTGTGGTCTCCGGAGTAGATGCTTTTTCGAGGTGTAGGCATAGCACGCTAGCTAATTGCACATTGTAGTGGTAGAAATGGGCCAAGTGACAATAATAATTAAGGACAGAAAACAGAGATATTTTTGACTTCTTTAAATGTTTCCCATTTAACAATGCCGAAACACAGTAGTATATACTGTACGTATGTCAGGCATGAAGCGGGGCCATAGGAAGTCTCCAAAAAGAAACAATAAGGAGCCAGTGCTTTGATAATACACTCACGACAATGATGGGGAATGTGAAGCAAGCACGAAAGGAGTCATTGGTGTGGACTGACGACGTGGTAGAATTTCTGCTTAGCAAAGAATGCCCAGATCAATGCCAAGATAAAGAATGTTCTACTGCGTGATTCAACACGGTTACAATTTTTGTTGGTGGTATCAGCGAGAACTGGTACAATCACCTCCCTGTGTCAGGAAAGATGAGTATGTATTGTAAACATGAAAAGGCCAGGGCAGCATTATCAAATTTAGTCGCTGTGGGACCCCGTTTAAAAAAAAGGATCTTATTAGGCCTTCCAAATGTCAGTTCCATGTCGACGAAACTTAGAAATCACGAGAAAGCTTTGTGACTTTGTGTGGACAGGGTCTAAGCCAGGGGTGCTTCACCTTTTGACCTTGGGGCCTGAGGCTTGTTGATAAATGATTATTTCTGTTGACTTTTATTATATTTCTCTGTCCGATCACGGTACGACTCACGGTACATTTCCACAGCCGCAAGTAGAACCAGCTTCTCCATTATGGTGAACACTTTGTTACTCTGTGCCACACCTCTGGTTACGAGATCGGTGGCTTTCAAAGCACTTTTAGGGCTGGTAGTAATTGCCACAATGGAATTTTTCTGAGTGGCAGGAATCCAAATGCAAGTGCAATATCTGATTTGAATTTAATTGGTAAAATACGCTTCCCTGCAGCCTTGTAACCCAGGGGTGCACAAGAAAAAATTATTTTGAGGCCCACTAGCTGGCGCATGCCGATAAGAATTACCAGCCTTAGCAACTTGCAACTACGCCAGAGAACAATTGAAGGAATGAAGTGTGTCACTGGGTGTCATTTTAGCCACAGCCAAAAGGGCCAGTCAGTCCAAACCAAGCCTTGTTGCATGAAATTATGAAGCCTTGGGTGAGGCAACCAGAGCAGTCCAGTTGCAATCGATTCAATGTCCTGCAAAATAAATGACCTGGATTAATGAGAATATCCACCAACTAGCCCAAGAAAATCTAAAAAACTGAAATGGCAGTGTTATATAGTTCTCAGTGTTTGTGTCAACACCAGGCTTGGACAAAGGATGGAGTTGCAGCGTTCAGAGTAAAGGGGAGATTTATTTGAGGGTCAGCAATTGCGGAAACATCGCAAAGGTTAGTCAGACCTGTGGCGAGAGGCTGAAGTGCACGCACAAGGACGAAACACAGTGGCCAGGACAAAGAGAGACAGGACTATTTAAAAATAAGGAAAGGGGTAACAGATGGAAACAATCAGGGCAGGGCTGACAATTAGAGTGGCACAGGAGGAAGGGTAAGTGATCTTGACCATGTTAAAAACAGTTGAAGCTACTCTAGTACTCCAGCAAACAAGCCACCGTAACAAAATATACATTTATGTCGTATACATGTAAATACTGTACAGAGTCGTTAAACAAGGTAAGGCAGTGGTCTCAAAGCACTAGGGCCACTTGGTGCACTTTGATTAGGGCCACAGCGGGCTGCAATGATGAAAGAGAAAACAAATTACAGTCATTCTGTTTTATTTATTATTTGTGGCTAAAAAGTATTTTATTTTGAAAAATGATCAGATTCTCTCTATTACATCCGCTTATGACTACCTTTGACGCATGTCAATATGCTAATTGTCTCAGCAGCCTAATGCTAATTGTAAACCCAAAAGCTAGCAAAATGGGTAAAAAAAAAAAAAATACATAAAGCTGTATTTGGAAAGTATCGTTGCAAAGGGGAAAAGACCCAGCAAGGCCGCAAGTAGAACCAGCTTCTCCATTATGGTGAACACTTTGTTACTCTGTGCCACACCTCTGGTTACGAGATCGGTGGCTTTCAAAGCACTTTTAGGGCTGGTAGTAATTGCCACAATGGAATTTTTCTGAGTGGCAGGAATCCAAATGCAAGTGCAATATCTGATTTGAATTTAATTGGTAAAATACGCTTCCCTGCAGCCTTGTAACCCAGGGGTGCACAAGAAAAAATTATTTTGAGGCCCACTAGCTGGCGCATGCCGATAAGAATTACCAGCCTTAGCAACTTGCAACTACGCCAGAGAACAATTGAAGGAATGAAGTGTGTCACTGGGTGTCATTTTAGCCACAGCCAAAAGGGCCAGTCAGTCCAAACCAAGCCTTGTTGCATGAAATTATGAAGCCTTGGGTGAGGCAACCAGAGCAGTCCAGTTGCAATCGATTCAATGTCCTGCAAAATAAATGACCTGGATTAATGAGAATATCCACCAACTAGCCCAAGAAAATCTAAAAAACTGAAATGGCAGTGTTATATAGTTCTCAGTGTTTGTGTCAACACCAGGCTTGGACAAAGGATGGAGTTGCAGCGTTCAGAGTAAAGGGGAGATTTATTTGAGGGTCAGCAATTGCGGAAACATCGCAAAGGTTAGTCAGACCTGTGGCGAGAGGCTGAAGTGCACGCACAAGGACGAAACACAGTGGCCAGGACAAAGAGAGACAGGACTATTTAAAAATAAGGAAAGGGGTAACAGATGGAAACAATCAGGGCAGGGCTGACAATTAGAGTGGCACAGGAGGAAGGGTAAGTGATCTTGACCATGTTAAAAACAGTTGAAGCTACTCTAGTACTCCAGCAAACAAGCCACCGTAACAAAATATACATTTATGTCGTATACATGTAAATACTGTACAGAGTCGTTAAACAAGGTAAGGCAGTGGTCTCAAAGCACTAGGGCCACTTGGTGCACTTTGATTAGGGCCACAGCGGGCTGCAATGATGAAAGAGAAAACAAATTACAGTCATTCTGTTTTATTTATTATTTGTGGCTAAAAAGTATTTTATTTTGAAAAATGATCAGATTCTCTCTATTACATCCGCTTATGACTACCTTTGACGCATGTCAATATGCTAATTGTCTCAGCAGCCTAATGCTAATTGTAAACCCAAAAGCCTAGCAAAATGGGTAAAAAAAAAAAAATACATAAAGCTGTATTTGGAAAGTATCGTTGCAAAGGGGAAAAGACCCAGCAAGGATTCAGCACAAGAGCCTTTGACCAAGAAGTTAAAGAAAGGTACATTTCACAGACCATCAGGAGACCTACGTGAAATCGGGCTTTATCGCAACAGGTGAGCCCCATGCACCAATCCCGCTCTACACAATATGCGGCGGGCAGTTCTCCAATGAGTCAAGAAAGCCTTTCTAAACTGATTTATCAACAAATGTAAGTTCCCAGAGAGCATCATACTTGGTGGCTAATCGCATGGCTTAGGCTAAAAAAAAAAATCATTCGATATTGGTGGAAAAATAAGTTGTGGATTTGCCTTTCTTGCTGTCTTTCAATAAATGGTTGCGGATCTGCGAAGGTTATGGACTTGTATAAACCGGTCTGGCGTGGGCAAGAGGTTGAGGACTTTTCAACTCAACTCAAATCAGCTGTATTTATAGAGCACTTTAAAACAACCACTGCTGTATACAAAGTGCTTGTACATGGAGCAAATATCATATATACAACAAGAAACAGAAAAAGAATAACTTAAGAACAAAGATAGTAGAAAGCACAAAAACAGTAAATTCACTTTGCACGGTTGTTAATTTCCCCCACTTGACAACCAAAGTACCAATTATTGTAGTTTATTGATGTAATTGGGGGACCGCAATTGGACTTCAATTGTTCTGTTTGGTGACAATGGGATGACTTACTAACTGCTGCCTCTGTTTGTGTTCTGTCCAGGTTAAGTCCCTCGCTGACTCGATAGACGATGCCCTGACCTGCCGTACGAGTCGCAATGACTCCCAAGAAGGCAGCAGAGAGGGTGGCGGTCTTAGTGAAGATTTTGGGGAGTGTATGTGGAGCAGCAGCAGCAACCCCTCCTCCCGACGGAGTCTGGGCGAAAGAGCCAGAGGAGTCGGAGGAGGACTCAGCATGCACGGAGACAGTACGGCCACCTCGTACAGCGACGTCACGCTTTACATGGACGACGGCATACCGTCCTCTCCCCTCTCCCCGGACCGGGCACCCAGTAGCACAGACACAGAATACTGGGGCCCCGGTGGGGGTGTCGGGGTGCGTGAGGACAGCAGGGACACAGAGGGAGGGGGCAGCAGTAACAGTCGGCGCAGTACACCGTGCACAGAGTGTCGGGACTATCGTCTGAGGGGAGCACACCTGCCTCTTCTCACCATTGAGCCGCCGAGCGACAGCTCAGTGGACATGAGCGACCGTTCAGACCGGGGCTCTCTCACCAGACAGCTGGTGTACGAGCAGGAGCCTGGGGTGGGGGCTGGCTCTCCTCAGGGAACGCTCAAACACTCCCACAACACAGGCGCTCGCTCGCCGTCCACGACAGCCGCCCAGGGTCAGATCCGTGCGCCAGGCAGAGCCATGCCCACACACATCCCTCACCAGGTGGCCTCGCTCCACCACCACCACCACCATCACCATCATCACCCCATCCACCACCATCAGTACCCTGACACGCCCTCGTCGTCTTCATCGCCCCAACAGCCCCCCACCACCCCTCTGTCCTCCTCTTCCTCGACAGCGCTGCCCTCCGGAGGGTTGGAGCAACCGTGTTGCTCGGATGGAGACAACGACTCTCTGAACTCTACCACCAACTCCAATGAGACGGTCAACTGCAGCTCCGGTTCCTCGTCTCAGGACAGTCTCCAGGACCCCCTGCCCCCTCTGGGCAAGCAGACTTATCAAAGGGAAAGCCGTAATAGCTGGGACTCTCCGCCCTTCAACAGCGACGTTGTCCAGCGACGCCAGTACCGCATAGGTCTCAACCTCTTCAACAAGTAAGATGTTTGGATTGCAAAGAAACGGGTAATGCATACGCCCCTTACTCATGTCTTTGAAATAGACTTATGCTTCCTCCAACAACAGGAAACCAGAGAAAGGAATCCAGTACCTGATTGAGAGAGGCTTTGTGTCAGACACTCCTGTTGGGATCGCTCGTTTCATCCTCGAGAGGAAAGGTCTGAGCAGGCAAATGATTGGAGAGTTCCTGGGAAACCGGCAGAAGCAATTCAACAAAGATGTTTTAGAGTGGGTATAGAAAGGAAGCCCCACTTTTTGCTGTTTGGTTGATCCGAGCAGCAAAGATTAAAACATCTCTATTGCGTCAATTTCAGCTGTGTGGTCGATGAGATGGACTTCTCCGGAATGGACCTTGATGACGCGCTGAGGAAGTTCCAGGCTCAAATTAAAGTTCAAGGAGAAGCGCAAAAAGTCGAACGGCTGATTGAGGCCTTTAGGTTTGTGTGTGTGTTGGACATTTCAGGCTTACCAAGGGTTAGCACAGCTTTGGAGCCATCGAACTACACGCACTGTGTTTCTTGTCTCCCATGCAGTCAGAGATACTGCGTATGCAATCCTGTTCTGGTTCGGCAATTCCAGAACCCTGACACCATCTTCATTTTGGCCTTCGCTATAATCCTTCTCAACACAGACATGTACAGCCCTAACGTCAAAGCAGAGAGGAAGATGAAGCTGGAGGACTTCATCAAGAATTTGAGAGGTGCTTCTTGATCATTAAAACCATCCACAATTTACACATTTCTGATAAAGGAATTCTCTGTCACATGTTATGTTTGCCTTGATTTATTTTACAAAAATGTAGATGTGCCCTGCGATTGGCTGGCAACCAGTTCAGGGTATATGCGCCTAATGCCCATGGACGGCTGGGATAGGCTCCAGCAGTTAGAAAATTAACACTGTGCTTCAATATAGGGAGTGATAAAAATACTACCATTTAATCAAATGTGTTTACCATTAAAGTTCAAATAAAATTGTATTTCAAAAAAATTTTATAACCGAACCATTTTTAACAATTTTATGCAAATTCATTCTTTTGTACTTGAAAGTTACAGCTGAAATGTACTGAAAAATGTACTACACATGAAAAGAAAATAATGGACGGTACACGAGAAGCAAAACAAACAAACAAAAGAACTCTATGTGAAAAGTATAACATTTGCAATACTGTATACTGTAATAAATAAACCAATAAATGGCTGTCTGCATAGCTACAAGCTTCATTGTTTGATTACATTTCATGTTTTAAATGTTGTACATCTAGTTATATTTAATTCAGTGATTCTTTCACTTATCACTAGAAGGAGTCCGCATGTATTGCTTATTTAGCAGCGATTTGTTAGAAAGTAGAGTTTTGTTTGTCATTTTGATTGACTTTGTCGTATTTCATCTTGTGCATGATAATCTGATCAGATGTTTAATGACGCAATCTCTCCCTTTTATTCACCCAAGGCGTAGATAATGGTCAGGATATTCCCAGGGACCTTCTTGTTGGGATCTACCAGCGGATAGAGAAATGGGAACTGCGGACCAATGACGACCATGTGTCTCAAGTGCAGGCAGTGGAAAGAGTTCTTGTGGGCAAGAAGCCTGTAAGGGCCACTTTTCAATGCATATACAGTATTCGTGCGTGTGTGCGTGTGCGTGCGTGTGTGTGTGTGTGTGTGTGTGTGTGTGTGTGTGTGTGTGTGTGTGTGTGTGTGTACTGTATATAATTGTTGTATTTGTCTTGTTAGGTGCTGTCCCTACCCCATCGTAGGCTAGTGTGTTGCTGCCAGCTGTACGAGGTGCCCGACACCAACAGACCTCAGAGAACAGGGTTACATCAGCGTGAGGTCTTTCTCTTTAATGACCTTTTGGTGGTAAGGTGACCTTTTCTTTACCGCTTATCTTCCTCAGACTCATAGGCATCCATACATGGAAAATAATATACAGTGGGGCCTTGAGATACAAGTTTAATTTGTTCGAAATCCGGTTCGCCTATGCCCAGGGCTGCCCTGACTCCATCACGTATTCACTGTGCGACCATTGCCTTTAACGGTTCACTCTTCGCATGCGGTCAGTTTTTGGTAAAATATTTTGTCACCCAAGACTCCCACTGACTTACGCCAATGACTCATGAAGTTTCAATGTGATTCGGACAGTTTCATTGGTCCACTGTGACGTGTTGGGTAATTTCATTGGTCAGATGTTCCAAGGCAATGATAAAATCTATTGGCGGCATGAAGCTCATTCGTGTAAATCCAAAAGTAAGCGGATTACATTTCCAGCCATAGGGTTCAAAGTGTAGGAAAACATTTTTTTTTATTGTCTTATAGTTTGGAAATGATGGCAATTGCTGCTCCAAACAGACAGACAGACTAAATGCCACTGAGTTCTAGGCAGTCCTTGCCTCTTTGTAGAGGCCACTCCAGTGTGCTTCATAATAACATCTCAACTCCTCTCTGGGCTCCTCATCACGGCACGAACGGTAGTTGTTCTGTGCAAATATATGACTGTTAATGCTGATGTATTGTGTGTCTACATGTTGCTGAACCATTTGTGTAAAATCTATTGCTTAAAGGCTTAAATCAGTGCAATTTACTAGATGCTAATTATTTAGCCTTACAGTACTATCAAGATAGTAAGGCATCAAATAGTTGTTTGGCTGCTTCCAATACACAAAATGTAGTTCTTTGTTTTATGTTTAGTTTAACAATAGACCTCAACATGGAGTGGCAATAAACATCTTGAAGCCTCTTTTGTGTTGAATTGTTCACTATTTCCAAACTACAACTTCTTGTAAAATGTGTTGAGATGACTTCACTGTCACCATACAGCACTCCAAAAAGTCAAAGCACATACGGCCCGTATCTCAAAAAAGTTCAGACAGGTCTTTTGTATCTCGACACACCGCTTAACAACTTGATGAGGGGTAAGCTTCACCTATTTGCAACGTAGAGACTGTCAATGTGATTTTAGGTAGTGACCTTTTTGTGAACTTGTTTGCTCCTTTTGTTGCAAGCAAACTGGTGTAAAACAGTTCTATTGTGCAGTTAGTGAATCAAACAAATTCTCTCTTGTCTGTGTGTACAATGTACAATCAATCGGGGAACAAAAGAACGGAGGGAACCAAGGAAATGCCTCACTGTTAAAATTCTTCGAAGATCCAGACATTGAGACATTGAGTTATTTTATTTTGAGGCACTCATGAAAATTGTCTTCATGTTCTGCATTAGGTAACCAAAATCTTTCAGAAGAAGAAAACCTCAGTGACGTACAGTTTTAGACAATCTTTCCCTCTGGTTGAAATGCAAGTGCACATGTTCCAGAACTCATGTAAGAAACTCGATTCCTTTTACACATTTCAATCATCATTGTCATTCAATGACTCGGGTTCTTATTGTTGGTCTGCTTTTAGATTACCCTCATGGCATCCGCCTGACCTCCGCAGTCTTGGGTGGGGAACGAAAAGTTCTCATCGTCTTTATGGCCCCGAGTCAGCAAGACCGCACCCGCTTTGTGAGTGACCTCAGGGAGAGTGTCGCTGAAGTGCAGGAGATGGAGAAATACAGAGTCGAATGTAAGGGCTCCATCTACTGGACACTGTTCTGAATCACATGCTTCTTGCAAAGTTATCCCACTGACATCCTTCCATCCAAACATATAAAAGGATAAAGAATCAAAACACTGAACAAACATCCACTCGTCACACTTTGTTTGAAATCACTCTCTCATGTTTTTCGTAAATAAATGCCAAGTATGGCTTGCGTTACGTGACAACTGGAGTCGAGCTACAGCGTTTTAACCAAATGTTGCCTATTTAGCAACTGTATTTCAAAAATGCGAACTGCAATGAATTTTGCGAATTGTTGTGGAGCAAATGGAGACTTTTGGAACGAGCAGGAATTGCTCACTCCTCGCTTTCCAGACTGCAAATGAGACATGCTTGTTCAAAGCTACCATTGGCAATTGTAACCAAATCCACACCATCAACAATCCAACATGATGTGAGCATCCGTTAAGGTTTGACTGTGCTTTCACTTGTGGAGGCAGCGTTTAATCAATGCCCTCTTACACTTTGTAGATTAATTTGTAGGATCTGTGTATGTGGTGCGCGCACCAGAAACATTACCAACCACAAGCAGTCCGCCACCCCACCTTTACATCTTCGCGAATATTCAAAGTATATACCCATTATCAGAAGCTAATGTTGCTATCGCTTATTGTGCTAACACCCCCGATTTTGGCATAGGAGTGGGGTGGAAATTGCGAACGGTCTCACTCTCAGACAGATTTCGAGAAATGACCACTAACAAAATGATGTCAACGTGTTGAATGTCACACTGTGAATGCCTGGGCATACAACTATCTGCATCAAAGCAAACGAAAAGTCAACTATCCACCATATGTCCCATTTTAACTCCCCGGGCCTATATTTGCAGCGGAGTTGGAGAAACAGAAAGGTGTCATGAGGCCCAGTTTGCTGACTGGAGGTGTGGTGGGAGGTGGAGCTGGTGTGAAGAGCGACATTGTGAATGGTACTTTGGGAAGGACAAGTTTTGATGACAACTGCTCCGTTGGCGAAGGTCTCAAACGCACTGCCCTTAGTTCATCTCTCAGGGATTTATCTGAGACAGGTAAGGAAAAGGGCCCTGTGAAGACACTTCGATATTCCTTGCTGCATTGGGGATGGGTGGCTTCAGCTATGATTGTATTGTCTGGTTCTATAGACCTTTCCACCATGACATCATACATACTTCCAGGTGGCAGAAACTTGCTAGTAATCAAACCCTTCTTCTCGGATCCTTGGAACTTGGGGACATTCAAAACAGTTTGGTCGATATGAGCTGGCTCTCTCAAAGATTTCTCTCTCTACATATTGGTTCATGTTACTCTAGTTCATTCTACCGCAATTCCTTCTGCTGTATTTTTCCCCCTTTTGCGGTCAATGATCCCAAACCTTACTAATGTTTGATGTTTTTCCTTGGTCCCAATGTGAGAACTTAGTAATATTTGCCTTTTATTAACTTCAGATGATCTTATGATATGTTTGGGTGGTGGGGTGGAGGTGGGAAAATTCGTTGTGTGCAATAGAGCTGACAGTAGGCTAGCCTTTATATTTTGCCAAATGACGCGAAGACACGTCAAGCAAAGTTTTTGTTCATTCCTGTGGGAAAATGCCTGGTTCCTAGTCTGTCGCTTGAGAAGTGGTTGATAGTCTTGTGATCTTCCTTGTACAACATTTTATCCTCCTCAGGTTCCGCTGAATTCATTTGGATTTTTAGGAAGGAAAAGGGAGAAAAAAAGAAACCTATTGGGGTATATCTGGCGGCGCAAACCTACGCCAAACACAAGTTTTAGTTGGCTTTTTAAGTTCAGGTCAGTGGTAGTCATTCGTGCTCTGCCATCTGGACGTATCCTGGCATCTATTGTTTACAAACATTATGAAAAGGTCTATCAGAACATACTTTTTCTTAATGTGCTTACAACTTTGAAATCATCCTCTCGGCTAACTTTACTCTTCCTGGTGGGGTGCAGGGAAGCGTGGTCGAAGGAACAGTGTTGGTTCTCTGGACAGTACTATGGAAGTAAGTCTCAAAGACTGTATGAAGAGTTCAAATGCAATAGCAGACCTCTCCATTTTTTGTCAACTGAGTGATTTTTTTTTTTTTTTAATTCTGGTTACAGATAAAAGCCATCATTTTTTATTCTTAAATATTATGAAGCACTTAACAGGCAGTTTTGGGGAAAAAAATGTTGATTGAAAAGGTCTTTGATGTCATTTCATTGCAAAAGCAGACAACTCAGAGAAAATAATTTTGTAAAAAACACCAAAGTCTACGATTTGTACATTACTGTAAGTTAGTATTATGCCTCATAAATGACAAATTATTAACATGTTACATACATTAATTACTACTACAGTCTCTTGAACTATACCTTTAGTTCAAGGTATAGTTCTGACCGACTTGTTACTACACCGTTGTTTTAAGACATCGTCATCATCTCTCTCTTTCACTGTTTCATGCAATTGACATATACAGTCACTGCCAAGCACAGTCGAAGCTCTGTTGGCTATGAGCTAACGAGAAACAACAGACACAGACATGTTTGAGGGTGTCCATGAAGAACAGCAAGTTAATACGTAACTGCAGTAATATGCCAATGGCACTTATTTTCACAGTTTTACGAAGGAGTTATTTGGTTTTGTAGTGTTAGGAAATGCGACATCAAACTATGCCATCCTAGGCAGCCGGCTTTGTTTCTATTTTTGTGTAAATGGAGCTTGCCAGCATTTGCATTTAAAGTCTTCATATGTAGGCCTGTGATAACAGACCTCTTACCTGTAATTGAGAGGGTTGCTAGAAAGTGTCTCAGCATGTACTCTGTGTATCTGTCCTGCGCCCTATGTGTTGTCTTTACTTGGATGTCAAATCATACCTTTCAAATGCTGCTGTGTGTACATGTAAATCCTGTTCTACAGTGCATGGCAGAGGTGTCAAGCGCATTTTTGTCGCCGGCCACATCGTAGTGACAATTTCTTTCGGAGGGCCACACTGCAAATGTATGATCACCTCATATTAACGTACACCATGCATTGATGGATAAATAACTTTGAAGCCAGAAGCCAGGAAAAGATTTTCTTCAAACTATTTTTCAGTTTATTTTAAACAGGGAATTGGTAACAAAAAATGCTTTCAATATATTAATGTTGCTAAGAAGGAAGACCATTTGCAATTGTAGTACTGTATTTAAGCAAGGAACATGAAGTCGACGCGCATGATTTTCCTTCGCGGGGCACATCAAATGATATGGCGGGCCAGATCTGGCCCCCGAGCCTTGAGTTTGATACCTGTGCTGTACGATGTGAAACATTTCAGACAAAATATTAACATTTTGTGGGGAAAATGGGCCGTCGTAGCCCGAAAATGGTGGCATAACAAATGTTGCATGACCAGGCATACTGTATCAGGCAGTGTCAGATATTTCGAGGAATGATCTCAGTGTGAGTCAGCAAAAATTTAGGTGTCTTATAATTGTGACAATGACTCACCTCTACTGTAACTGTTTGTAACACTGTCACTGTGACCTTCTTTCATTTCATCTCCTTTCGTTTCACTTAGCATTCATGGTGTACTTTTACTCCGTCATGAAGAGAGCAACAATATTACAGTGAAGAACACAGGTGTCAAACTGTCCTGGGTGCCAGATCCGGCTTTCCATATCACTTTATATAAGCCACTAAATCAAATTTGGCATTTTGACTTCGTGTTGATTACTGACTGGATTTGGTCATTTGTTCATGGCAGAAGATTATGGATGGAAAATGCAATTTTTCTTCACTTTAAACAGATTTGTTTTCATCAGTTCAAACTTAAATTGAAAAATATGCAGTGGAACCTCGTTTTCCGCATGCCATGGTTTTCATATTATTTGGAATATGGTCCCAGTTTTGGTACAGTTGCTCGGTTTTGTAAAAAAAAAAAAAAAACATGACTCGGCCATTTGCCCGACTAATGCACGGTCGTCTGACGCAAATTGGAAGCTGTATAAAAAGGGTGCAGCTGATGGCAATGCGAATTCCACAATGCAAATGAATTTTTATCAATAACTCAAAGCAATAACACTCCCAGTCAGCTTGGCAGGACTCAGAAAACTTCTGCCCACTGCATCCTGCCTTCAAAATAAAAACAGCCAGCGCCATAAAAGTTTCACCACATTTTTTGGGGTCGCATGGAGGCTGATTTAACAGTCACACTCAATAAACAAGTGCAAAATAGTTCATGTTTGACTGCTAAATAAGACACCATGAGGCCACAAAGAAGGTTTGGTGCAGCTGTTATTATACCACATGCTTTAATTTTCAGGGAATAGCAGAGAATACGTTTGTGAAAAAGACCCAGAAATGTGAATATGCGAGGAATGCTGTCATGCAGTGATTCTCAACATGTGTTGGCACGTGGGCTACCTCTTGTGGTACGTAAAACAGTCATTGCCGAAGTACAGACCAGTTGTAGTTCCGTTTCAGTTCGTCTTTTGGCGGTGTAAATGTTACTACTGCGGACGCAACGTGGAAAGCCGGCAAAATCGTCGACTTCAACCCAATGTTGCAAATACAGGGTACAGTTGCTCGGTTTTGTAAAAAAAAAAAAAAAACATGACTCGGCCATTTGCCCGACTAATGCACGGTCGTCTGACGCAAATTGGAAGCTGTATAAAAAGGGTGCAGCTGATGGCAATGCGAATTCCACAATGCAAATGAATTTTTATCAATAACTCAAAGCAATAACACTCCCAGTCAGCTTGGCAGGACTCAGAAAACTTCTGCCCACTGCATCCTGCCTTCAAAATAAAAACAGCCAGCGCCATAAAAGTTTCACCACATTTTTTGGGGTCGCATGGAGGCTGATTTAACAGTCACACTCAATAAACAAGTGCAAAATAGTTCATGTTTGACTGCTAAATAAGACACCATGAGGCCACAAAGAAGGTTTGGTGCAGCTGTTATTATACCACATGCTTTAATTTTCAGGGAATAGCAGAGAATACGTTTGTGAAAAAGACCCAGAAATGTGAATATGCGAGGAATGCTGTCATGCAGTGATTCTCAACATGTGTTGGCACGTGGGCTACCTCTTGTGGTACGTAAAACAGTCATTGCCGAAGTACAGACCAGTTGTAGTTCCGTTTCAGTTTGATGTTTTGGAAGGGATTAATCCTGAAACTGAGGTTGCACTGTGTCTGGTAACAATCAACAGCAAGGCCAACTGTGTACACTGTATTTCACAACATGATGGTGAGGTTAGAAACCCCAAATGTGGCCCATGACAAAAATGACTTTGACAGGCCTGGTGCAGGCTAAGGTGGACGAGCTTCCCTGCATGTTTCTGGAGCAAGATGACACTCTTTTCCTTTCAGGGATCCATCATTAGCAGTCCGCAGCCTCACCAGCGCTACCCGGTGCCAGGCGTGGTCCCGGGCTGCTACACAACAGAAGACTTCCGGCCTCATCGCCCCATCCTGAGCCCCGGAACGGGGATGGGGGGTGGGCCGGGGCAGCAACATACCACTGCTGGGACAGGAGTCGGGGGCGTCCCCAGCAGTGTCGAGAGAGCGGGAGCGGGGAGCTGCCCTGCGGGGAGCGGCAACAACAGTGGCTCCTTCCTGGGCTCACTATTCGGCAGCAAACGCGCCAAACCGCCGGGGCCCCTTATTCCACCGGGGCCACCCTACCCCGCGCCTGTCCCCCCACCGACGACGGGAGGGCCTCCTCCTCACTCCCCTTCATCCCTGTGCCAGTCGTTGGACGGGGGGCCTTCCAAGATCCAGGCGCTGCATGCACAGTATTGCCACGCGACTACCGTGCAGCCCCCGCCACCGTACTACCACCACCATCGCTACCACGCCCAAAATGTCACTCCTCCTTTGCAAGGGGCGCCGCCTCATACTATACAGAGAGGCCCGCCACCCTTTCGTACACCCCTTTGCCCCCCGCATGCCCCGCACCCACAGCTGGCCCATCTCTCCCAGCTCTCACAGCATGGGCTTCCGGGTCGCTTCACCAACATGGTGGTGGGACGTCCCCCGCCCCTTTCTCCTCTCTCCCAGCATTCCTCGAACCCACAGTTTGCCCTGTACCACTTGCAGCCTACACACTCTATCAGGGGGTGCGCCGCAGGCCCTGTTACCAAACCGCCCCTAACCTTGTCTCACTCGCATCCGCACCCCCACGCACACTCCCAAACCCACCCCGGCCACGTGCACACACCGCACCCGGCCAGCCACTCCGGCCATCAAACACACTTCATCTTCGGCACCCTGCCCCACAATCTGCCATCCGCTACCGTCAACGCGCATCATGCAGCCTCCGCCGGCCAGTATCTGCCCCAGTACCCTCCTCTCTCTTCCATCCCCCCTCCCCCACCACACTCCCCTTTACCCCCCCCTTCGTCCCCCCTTACCCCTCTTACACCTCTCTCCCCTCTCCCCCCCCAGCACCCCGGGCAGCCTCAGCCAGGGCCGCAGGTGACGGGTGCCGGAGCGACAGGTACAGGGGGCAGTTCCAAGTCCAAGCCTATCAACCGGATAAGCACCGTAGTGTGAGCAGGGTGTGGGCCGCCCGGGGTCATAGGTCGGACGATCGGGTGGAGGACGCTGCCAGGGCCAGGGCCAGGGCCAGATCTGCTAGGACCGAGAGCAATGGCGGCAACGCGGCTGACAAGAGAAAACGCAGTTTGCTCCGCCTCTGTTACTTTCACCTCCGTTTCCCGCATATGTAAATCGCAAGCACGCACGCGTCACACGAACACAAAGCACACGATGTTCAAACAAGCCGATAGCCATATAATTAAAGATTCATATTTCTATGTGTTGGTCATGCGTCGGTTTTAAGCTGTTTGAAGTCTTACTTAGGGTCATATTCTCCCTTGTTCGTAAGTCGCAAAAAGGCACCTTCCTGGATGTGCGCTTTCTCCCGTCCAATCAAATGTGTCATTTATGTACCCTCGTGCTGTCCTTTAAAAAGTCTTAAAAGGCATGGAATCCCTGAGTCTAAAAACAAGGTTTTAATTGGCATTAAAATGTCTGACATCAAAATGTCAAAAAATGTCAACATACGATGAGTTAGGATGTTGTGATTGTAGTCTATAGTTTCAAAATGATTTACATTCTTCAAGATTTTTAACAAATTACTTTCATGGTAACATTGTGCAATCAAAGTTAAGGTATTTTTAGATGGGACTCCTGATATCAGATACAGGTACAGTACATGTCATTTATGTACTGTCACAACTTTGGACAACATGGGACATTGTGACCATCGCTTAGCTGGTCTTAAACTTAATTTCTAATGGAATTTAAAAATCTGAAATTTAACCTACCTTAACCTGTAGGAGCCCTGACCAGGTACGCGCACTGGGAGGAGCAACCCAAAAATGTGGGCCTTCCTTCTGAAATCTAGAGTGCTGAATTTTGACAGTGACTGGTCTCAAAATGACCTTTGTTTTAGCTTTGCGAGCGGCTATATTGATATCATGAGTTCATTTGTTTTTTTCATTAGATCGAAGAAAAAGCAGACCTATGTTTAAATGAAAATGCAAAATTTTAATGAAAAGAATCAGAGACAAGAATAATAATTTAAGTAACTTGATACTTCCATTATAATTTTTATACTTAAGTTTATATCATGATAGGTACTGTGACCGTGAAGGGATTTAATTTATACCATGATCTGAATTTTAGGACATATCGCAGGGCCCTCAGTCTCCATTTCAAGCAATTTAGTCTATGAGAAAAATAGGAATAAATAATTTCGGTACAATGAACAGGTTAATAAATTAGTGTCAAAGGTTAAAAAAAAAACTTTTTCATTCAGTAATACACCTATATACATATTTCTCTATGTATGACAGCAAGCAGTAGTTCATTTACTGAACCAGTTTAAAAACTGCCTCCCTCACACCACCTTTTTAAGTGTACTTACATCATTAGAGTATAATAGCTTTTCATTTTTGCATCGTATGATATAGCCTCGCCCTGCGATTGGCTGGCAACCCGTTTAGGGTGTACCTCGCCTCCTGCCCGAAGACAGTTGGGATAGGCTCCAGAATGCCCGCAACCCTTGTGAGGATAAAGCGGATCGGAAAAATGATGATACAGCCCAAGTTTCGATCCTAGTTGTAAATGTCACTGGGGGGAATATTGCCCTGAAGCGTAGTAAATTGAATCAAAATGGCAATTGTTGTTACAAAAAGCGCAATTAATTTTTTTCCGGAAATCATTCAGCCATACTTTCGCAGCGCAAGCTGGCTCGCCGAGAGCCGAACGGTGACATTTTATATCATATTGCCGAGTGAAAAATATTGGCACCAGCTGCCGTTTGACAACTGCAAAATAGCTTTTCCGCTTCAAATATGCGGCTGGCGGCTTGGGGTTTATGGAAAGCACAGGGCTCTCAAACAACAATTACAGTCATTATAAAGGTGCAATGGTGAATTAGAAAGTAAATCATTTGTTTGACTTGCTTCTTTGTTGGCCGTCCAAAAAGCTAAAGTGGCTCGACCGGTTTGTGTCAAAAGGAAGCTTGGGCACCACTGATCTATTCTTTTTTTTTCTTGGTGGACCTCCCAACATGTTCAATCAAAAGCACAGTATTCTGAGTAAATTACTTTTTTGGGATTTATTTAATCCAGAATCGAAAACGTGACACATTTGTGCGCAAATCTGACTGGCGATGACACATCCACTACGGAAGGTATTTTCATCTTTGCTGTGCGTTCTATTTTTTTTAAGTGTTTCTGAATGACATTCCCAAGTCTCAGGAAAACTCCATGCTCCATTATTCACAACCAGCCTCTGTCAGGCATCTTTGGTGGTTGCGCACACGTTAGCAGGTTACGTGGAGGGTGTGTCAGAACTCTGGACGGGAGAATGCCTGTCAATGGAAGGTGCACAACTCCAGCGTGTAAAAAAGACTTGCACGCAAACGGGAGATTGGCCCTACGTCTTGGTATTTATATGTATGAAAAATGACAACCATACTGTCCATTTGCCTTTTTATTTTGAGGATAAAAACAAAGACGTTCACCATTCAAAACAGCAAAAATTGCCCTTTGACTTTGCAATAATTCCGTTTGCTGACAGTATCTCATTTTTGAATAATGACTTCAAACATGTTGCTTTGTCTTTGAACTTTTTAACCACAGACGTCCAGTTTCGCTTCAGCATCTTTTACATGCCGACTGGAGCCGTGCGGCTTTGTAATGCATTCCTCAAGGAGTTTGGAAATTAATGATACAATCAACAATCTATTGTGAATGTTTCTGAAGCTTCTCGCTGTTTTATCAATATTAGATCTGCTATGTGTACGATGAATATTGTTTATTTGATCAATTTGTAAATGTATCAGCGGATGTTTGTACAGGGTGATATAAAGCTTCAAAGTAAATACCCGCTTTGATTTAAAGTCATTGCCATCATTTGCGCCCGTTAATATCATCTGCAGTGATTGTTGATCAAACTGACAAAACTTTTTTGTTTTGTTTGATGGGGAAAAAAACTTTGATGATGCGCCCATTGTTGGAAAAAAAAAGTGTGTGGTTGTGGAGGTATTAAAAAGATGGTGTTTCTTCGTAATTTTGTGAAGCACCTTAGCTCACCTTTTCAGAATCATGCGATTCGTCGCAGGGGCACGTGAAGTACAGTAGATGCCTCCGATGAACGGCCAGTTTCAATGCCCCCTTAATTTTTTGAGGGTCAACAGGGGAAGGGGGACTTTGGTGGCAGGTGTAAACATTCATTTTCCACCATAAATTTGATTTCATTTCACTATTGTGGTGGACATATGTAACCAATAGTGTTTTTTTTTCGCTTGCAGCACCCACCCAACTTGGGGATCGAACCTGATCGCGAGTGCACCGCAACAACCGTTGATCTTAAATTCTGGGCGGCCAGTTGCTTTATAACAATATCAGAAGGTATGCGAAGTGAGTCTTTACAACAAGGTGCGATGCATTATACATAACCCCAAAATATTTTGTAATTTGTCAACGAGGGGGCGTTGGGTTCAATGTGGATGCCCCACCCACCGCCAGGTGAATGCCTGGGGCCACCACCCTATCAGCCCTCAATCTGCACGCCCCTGATTTGTCGTTGGGTGTTTTGTGTGAACAAGCAAGCTTTTTACAGGAAGTTTTTGTGGTTTTGCACGTGACGTCTTTAGCCACAAATGACCATCTTAGTCTCTCACCCTTCCAACCACTTTTGTAGAACTCTCTTAACACATTAATTGATGCCATGGCATCCCCATGAGGGCTTTGTATTCTAATAATAATCATCATCATCATAATAATAAGTATTGAGAATGTAAAACAACAATCTTTGTTATTCTGTGGACTCCTGCAATATTTTAAGTTGTGAGTACTGACAGTTACCTACAGTGCCAAAAATTATCAAGAGAAAATCATATAGTGTATTCTCTGATTGGGGGTGGGGGGAGCAGAGGAGTGATTTCAAGGTTTGAAATTCGGCTGTACTGAATGACGAGTGAAATGTAAATCCACAAAAAACAAAAACATACAAAGGATGTCTGAAGAAAGTCGCGAATGTGAGATGAAGGATAAATATGTATCTGTTGCCGAGGCTAGACCTTTTCTTTTTTGACTTTTCTTGCATGGATATAGCTGCACTTATTAAATAGATTGTACTGTATAAATCTGATTGTAAATAATCTGCTTTATAGGCTTTTTATGGGACAAAGTGATCCCAATCTGTATTGTGGTTTGTGCATGTGAGTGCCATGACGCATGTACATAGGAGCGACAAACAGAGACAGCAAGTGGTGTGTAAAAGGAATATTTACTTGTTTATTTCTTATTTGTGACTGAAGACAAGCGAAGGAATGAAGAGTAATACATCACAGCCTAACGGTTATGTCAGTGCACTTATGGTGATTAATTTGGAACATTTAGTTAAATTTTCTGTTATAAATGTATTAAATGTACTGAAAGAATAGAGATTTGATATGTGAATATTTATTGCTTCAGATCAATTAAAGTGTCCTTGCAGTGATATGGCTGTTGGGTTTTTAATTTATTTATGTGAACTTCTGCTTTCACAGTGTGCATAATTATCACTGCTCTTAATCGCTGCACAGACACTAAGGATATGGCATTTTCATATTGCAATACCCGGGGTTGCTGTCATTTTACAAGGTTTTAATGAAAAAGGAATGAAACTACTGATCATCCATAATGATCCTAGCAAATAAGTATCGTTGTAGAAATGTCATTAATCCGTTCCAGTACCTGCCCCAAAAACAATTTTTTGGGGGATGTGCTTTTTTTTCAAGAGGAAAAATAGCAGTATATTATGCTTTACAAAAATATACTGTAGTGGCATAATTAAATAGAAATTAAATATGTTCATTCATTTTCCGAACCACTTTATCGTCACAAGGGTCGCGGCGGGTGCTGGAGCCTATCCCAGCCGTCTTCGGGCAGTAGGCGGGGGACACGCTGAACCGGTTGCCAGCCAATCACAGGGCACACAGACAAACAACCATCCACGCTCACACTCACACCTAGGGACAAATTAGAGTGTTCAATCAGCCTGCCATGCAGGTTTTTGGAATGTGGGAGGAAACCGGTGGGCCCGGAGAAAACCCACGCAGTCCCGGGGAGAACATGCAAACTCCACACAGGGAGGTCGGAGCCGGATCTAACCCACGACATCTGCAGTATGAGGTTGACGCGCTAACCACTGGACAACGTGGCAGCCCGAAATTAAACATATATTTTTTTAATATCCACATTTTTTTTATTTGATTCAATGGACATTGTGCTGCTCGTTCTGGTGTACACGCCTTGGCCACCTGGGGGCAGTATAATGCAGAAATACTGAATGGAAACCGTCCCAATTGCTCTGTCGCCACGAAAAATATTGTCAGGCTGTTACATTATGTGAGAATGAATTGCACATAAAAATTATAAGTAAACCTATGACAACAAACAGTTCTTTTCAGATAAATGCAAACGGACACCCGTATGTTTGAACTTGGTGTTCATTATGGACAATCCGTGACAAGCACAGAAGTCCAAAAACAAAACACCACTCGAATTCTGATCGGGAGGGCTGTTCCTCCCAACCACGCCATTCCAGGTCTCACTGTCATTGCCCACGTGGGCAGTGAAGTCCCCCAGCAGTAGGAGGGAGTCCATTGAGAGAGCGCTCTCCAGCACATCCTCCAAAGACTCCAAATAGGGTGGGTCCTCTTAACTGCTGTTTGGTGCATCGGCACAAACAATAGTCAGGACCGGTCCGCCCACCCGAAGGCGAAGGGAAGCTACCCTCTTGTCTACCGGTGTGAACCCCAATGTTCCACTGAGCTGGGGGGTAATGAGTATGCCCACACCTGCTCTGTGGCTCTCACCATGGGCGACTCCAGAGTGGAAGAGAGTCCAACCCTTTTCGTGACAACTGGTACCAAAGCCCAGGCTGTGTGTGGAGGCAAGTCTGACTATGTCAAGGTGGAACCTCTCTGTCTCACACACCAGCTTGTCGGGCTCCTTCTCCGCAAGAGAGGTGACATTTCATGTCGTTAGAGCTAGCCTCTGAAGCCTGGGATCGAACCTCCAAGGTCCCTGCCTTTGGCCGGCGGCCAGTTTACTTTGCACCTGACCCTTTGGCCCCTTCCAGAGGTGGTGAAACAACCCAGGTTGCCTCTTTGGGCTGAGGCCAAATAGGGCCCATGGGTGTAGGCCCGGCCACCGGGGGCTCACCATGAGCCCGACCTTGCAGCGTATTACACCTTTTTTAATTTCTCTTATTACACCTTTCAATAACAAATTAAAACCATTCAGGAAAATAGGAATATGTACCGGTAATTTATTTGTCACGAAGTGGCCTCTTTACATGAGAAAGCATAAAATTAGAAACTAAACAGTGGTAAATAGTGCCTAAAAGAACACAAAGCTCATCAAACTATGCATCCTCCGTTGTAAAATGAAGTGAAGAAAATGAAGCATGGAGGCCTTGTTTCCAAGGTATAATAAGTACAGTAGTTGATGTCAGTTAGTGTGTTCCTTTTGAGACCGTATCCTTTGAAGGGACTGTTGTAACTACAACACGTTGTTGCCTTCGTACGCACCGCCGTGAATCAGCGTACGTGCGCACTACTTCCAAAGAGCGAACGTTGCGGACGCGCAGCGAGGACTCGGGGTTGCGCTTCAGCCGTCAGAGAAAAAAAAGAAAAGAAAAAAAACAAGATGGCGACTCGTCAAGAAAGATAGGATGGCCTGAAGGGAGTGATGGTGTTTGTCGGAAAAGGATTACTAACAACACGACCGTCACCAGTAGCGATTCGTGCCTAAAATGAAACGGATGCCTCGCGTCCAGATTTTGAGTGTTTAGCAGAGTGTAGAACGTACGGGGTGATTTGAAGCGGCCAACTTTGCTTGTAGCTGTTAGCAACGCTAGCTCGCCAGCGGCATCAAAGCACAGCTGGCCCTCGTTAGCCAACCACCTATAAGCAACAAGCAGCAGTCAGCAGTCACTGCCACAAGACGAAGGAGAGCGGCCCCGTCATAGCCCGGGACATCGAGGTGTCTTCGGGTCAGTCAGCAACCGTATACGACGGCACTTTCTCACGCGTTTGGTGTCTCAAAGCCACGCGGCTTTTGTTACATAATGTCCAGTCGCTGCATTGACTTGGCCGTTTGCGTGAGAACTCACGGAAGCCCCGTGCCAATGTTTGCTTATTATCACCTCTGAGCTAACTAATGCTAACCAAGATGGTCCGATGGCAAAATCGGATCGGAGGCCTTGATGCTAACGTTAGCTCCATTTGACACCACCGATGTTTGGGGAGGGCAGAAAAATAACATTTAGTGAGTGAGCTAAAATAGTATAGGCGTAAGTTTTCTCAGCAACACTTAATTGATTTGCGAAACACGAGAGGTCGAGGCTTGTTTTGACTGGAACGGATATTATCGTCTTGTGGTTTGTAGGGGGTTTAACCCAAACAGGTCTCTAGTCACCAACATTGATATTAACTTCGTGAAACTCAACGTCCTCATTTCAACGTGAGTGCGGTTTTTTTTTTTTTTTTTTTTTTTGCTTTGTTGTCATTACGTTATTTCAAAGACTTTCCTAGAAAGTGCTCTTGAACAAATTGATGGTTTTGTGGTCTTGTTTCGAGTTCATGGCCTAGGCGCCATTGTTTCGGGACAAGCTTCACGAACACGGATTGAACGAACCTGCTTGACTCAAGTCTTGATTAGTGACCCCCAGTGTATGATTTTTAAGAAAATGTTACTTTGAGGGGGAAAAAATCTCAACAGCCACTTAGTGTGCCAAAATATCGATGGCTATGCTTGACAACTAATTAAAAATTTGGGTGGCTAACTTTCCTTCTCACCACTTTCAATCGCGTTGACTGCGAAAGAAGGTCCGTTCGCGTTGTTGTCTTGAATTGGGGAAGGAGAAATAACCAGCCCCCCACTGAGAGTAAGACAAACGCTTCGTCTTTGGCCTTCTCATACTTAGGGATTCTTCAAGTTCCAAAGTTATGCACTTTATAGATAAGCTACCTTAACATGCCTCTCGTATCTCTTATTATTACACTAACCTGTGGGTGAATTTCATTTTTAATGTAAATTTGTATCTTTGGTAGCCTTTTTTTGTGCTTATTTTTGGAAAAACAAAATGATTTTGTTTGAAATGTGTCCCTTTTTGAATATCAAATTTGCCGTCTTTGGCACTCCTCATATGTGGGACTATTTTGAAGAATAGCATGGCCTGAAAGAAAACACGTGCTTTGATGTTGAACGCTGCATCTTGCTAAATTGTCTATTGGCGTAGCTGTCTGCAATATTCCGAAGCGAAGTGATATGTTTTTCAGGGCAATGGAAGGGGACGAGTTTGTAGCGCCTCCGGAGTGTCCCGTTTTCGAGCCGTCATGGGAGGAGTTCAAGGATCCTCTGGGCTACATCGCCAAAATACGTCCAATTGCAGAAAAGTCTGGAATCTGTAAAATTCGACCACCATCAGTAAGTATTTGTTCATTTGTGAAACTTGAAGACAAAATGCTTGGTACACTTTTGACTGTTTCACATTTATTCCACATATTTATCCCTTCCCATCTCTATGAACTGGGAGTAGAAAAAACACTTGATTGATTTACTGAGCGACACAGTGGAACTCCACTCAACACATACGCAGTGTGTGAGATTCTGCCACGAGATTTCATGACTGGCCAACTTTCAGCCACGGGCTTTGCGGTAATCTAAAATTTGAATCGCAGGTGCACCGTCAATTATAGACACTCAAAATGCACACAAGCTTTCACAAAGGCAAAAAAATGAATTTCCAAGTTCAAGGCGAGCAAGACAGAGCCGTGTCACGGTATTAAAATTACAGCTCTCAAATGTCCTATTTCAAAATATTTCAGGAAATCTTTTCCATTTAATACAATCTATATTTTATTTTTAACAAAGCATAGATTTGGTACATTAACTAACATGCACCATGGGAAATTTAAATAAATAAATGAATGCAAAATGTGACATACTGGTCAGCCAGGCATACAAGTCGCCGCCACCCCCATCCCCACCACCACACTAACCGGCAGCCGTAACAAGTGCCATCGGAGGACACATGGACTAGCGCCGGTGTTCAGGTGGGCGGCTCCTCCGTCCTGCAGGACATTCTCCACCGCCAGGGAAACTGCCAGCGCACGCCTGAGCACATCGCCTGCTTTGCCCTGGCCTGCTCGCTCTGCAGACAGTCTTGAGATGCACTGTCGCGGAGCACCCAACAAAACAAAAATCCTCCCCTCAATCTGTATGGGAATACTTAGCTTCATTTGTCACCTAATCATTTTTATACTTTATTATTAAATTTAGGGCAGACGGAACAAAATGGAAACTGATAGTTTTGCCAGTTGGTGTCCATGCATGTGTGGTGAGGCATTTAACAGGTGTACGACTGGCTGCCCTCTATGTCAATCCAGTGACAAATTTCATATGTTGGAGAGTCAGGGTTTTGTTTTTGTTTTTTTGGGATTATTTTTAAAAACTCAATTGCGGCAATATCAATAGTATAAAACTGGGCTGGCTGGCAGTGATTGAATTAATACGGTGCAATCTACTGACATCCCATTCACTGGGTACTGGTCGATCGCGAACGGCACAATGGGCATCCCTGCTGTAGTGTTGCTTTTGTCCAACTGCCCACCCTCCTTTCTTGGCCCCTCTCTTTTCTGTTTGTCGGCCGGGAGAACAGTGGTGAGGTCCGCGAGCCAGCAAGCAAGAGTAGCCGTGGTGGCTGCTGCTAAAGTGGGTGGACGGAGGCAGAGGGTGGCTGACCTCGCTGCGGCCTCACTCGGAAGGCGTAACACCGGATGGCCCACCGCAAGGGAGTCCGCCGCCAGGCGAGGGGGGCTGCCAATGAGGCATTGGGCTCCGTGGCGGGATGGCCGGGTGAATGGCGGGGGTGTTCTCTGCTTCATTGTGGCAGGAATTGGCCACACACGGGAACGCACCTCCCATGGCGCTCGACAGCGATCCGTGGGCCAGAAACCTTTCAGCTGAACACCGGCTACTCTCTGAGAAGGGGAAAAAAGTTGATTTAAGGCAATTAATATCAAAGCGGCTGCTCAATAATTCAGCTTTGCAAGCAGCCCATCATATGTTGTGCTTGTCTCATCAAAACGGAAAAGAAGAGCTCATTACTGGTGACGGACAATAATAGCAGTCATCGAAACCTTGACTTATTAAAACCACCTAATTCATCAAACTGGACATCGCCCCACGCCTAATAGACATATTGTTTTCCAACAATACGTGTGTACCTTGTCGGTTACATTCAGAAGAATAGAAGCGCACCTCACTGTTCAATTGATCCCCATTTTTTTCGTTCCTTTTTATTCTTGCTCACGTCTTCTTTTTCTAGCAACCTGCGTCTTCCTTGACTGACACTCCCATGTTTTGATGGATTGAAAAAAGTGACACGGTACAAGATATTGTATGAGGACCCTCAGAACTCGATACAGGCTCACGCCATTCATACTGCAAGTAGTACGTGTACTAAATTGCCCCCATATGTTAAATTGCCCAATGTGCCGGGGTGAGTGGCCAACTGGCATTTTTATTACCATGGGTTCTAGTTCAGAAGCACTGCGGAGTGTGCAGCGGCCCCAAGGCATGAGCCCGGGACTTTGCCTCAGTGCACCAATACAATGCAAAGTCTATGAAGAAGATTTGAAAACAGAAGCTTATAAGACCCACTAAGCCAGTTTTGCTGGACGAATTTGGCTATTATTAATAGTGTGGTATAGTTGTTGCTGCCTTCCTTTCATTTTCTTCCCAAAGAAATGTCTTGATGTGGTATCTAGCCAAGCAAGGCATGCAATTAATAGTTCTGATCTGTCTTCATGTGTTTATTGTTTACTAAACATGGGCAAAATACCGTTAAAGGCCAGTTGTATTTTACAAGCTAACGTGCTATATGATCATATGATGACATGATGCGTTTTATAATTCTATTTTGATGTGTGGGATCAGTGTTTGTCTAATGGTGCTGGCAACTCCATTGTGCCAGCCCCACCTATTCGGGCTTCGAAGACGTGCCCTCACCAAATTGGAAGCACTGGTTGTGAAGTCAGCAGATTTGAAGGCTCGGAGGAGTGAGGTTTTAATAACGTACACTTACACAGCGTAAGTTGGTGTCATTTGCATTGTTGCGCAAATGTAGCAGCTGAACCTTTCCTCCTAGGTTTGATGAATCAATTATCACTCAATGCACACATTACACTCACATTAAGAGTTTGATTATTATTGGTTTGAGTGGTTTTGACTTGGAAACCGGAGAGGGTTAGAATGATGATGTCGCTACTCGATGCCCGACTGGTGAACACTTTTTCTGGGTGATTCACATTTACGTAAAACTATCGGAACACTCATGGCCCGAGGTGCAAATGACGAGGACGCTGCATAGACACACATCTATCTATCTACAGTTCTACACACAGACACATTCATTAGAGGTCCCTCTTAGCCAATGGGATGCCAGGATGATGCTCGGTAATAGCCAATGGCAGAGCAGCTACAAGTATGTTGTGTTCAGGAAACTCGGAGCTGCACGGGGCAGCCCCTACTGTATTTCTACCTTTTGTATCATGAAATTTCTTAACAAGAGGCAATATTTTCCTGTTGGGGTGTTTTGTAACTTGAAAATTTCGTATGAAGAGACGTTCGTAAGTAGAGGTACCACTGTATTTTAATTACCTTGTTGTTGTAGTTGCAAGACAAGAACATCTCCCCCAACGCCAAAATAACATAAAAAGGCGGCAGATCAATAAGCAGTATTGTTAAGAGTAGTAGTATCAGTTAAGATTGTAGCTATCCATCTCGAGGTGTGTGCGTCGGATGCAAATCGGGCTACAATCGTGCCGTCTGAGACTGGTATTATTGAACATTCTTCAAAAAGAGCCTTTCAGCTGGATTTTGGAGCTCCCATTTGACGTTTACTATCAAACAAAACAAAGTCAATTACACTTTGTGTACAACAATCACATAGCTAAGCTTTTCAGTTACCTTGCTTAATTTTCAAGCTAAAGACAATCTATGTTCTAAGTAACAGGTGTCAAAGTCCGGTCCTCGAGGGCCGGTGTCCTGCATGTTTTCCATCCCTCCCTGCTGCAACACACCTGATCCAAATGATCAGCTCATCAGCAAGCTCTATCGGAGCCTGATAGTGATCCTGATCATTTGAATCAGGTGTGTTGCAGCAGGGAGAGATGGAAAACAGGCAGAACACCAGCCCTTGAGGACCGGACTTTGACACCTGTGTTAAGTCATGTATGTCTTACCCTCTGGGTGTAATGATGAGTATTAGTGCTGTATTGATTTGCTCAGTGTTTTCTGGACTACGAGGGTGGTCATGGAAGGAAAATGAAACTCTTATCTCAAGATACTGTACCTGAATACTCATAAATGAAAAAGAATGTGGCAATAAATGAAAAGACCACTGGTTAATTTCTTGTAGTTTTCGGTGATGTACTGACAGATTTTTTTTTTCACCTACTGCCTGTTTGCGTATGCGAATTTACAGAGGGACGAAGGCCCATGTACTCCCATCCCCAACATCCAAATGATCCACTACCTTGCATCAAAATGCTCTCCTCTTCGTCACGTTGATCTCATACTTGTTGTTTATGGGGAACTAGCAGAGACAGCTCACGACCAAAATGTTGATTGTGATTTTCTTGTTCTAAATAGGACTGGCAACCACCATTTTCAGTGGAGCTGGATACGTTCCGATTTACGCCACGCATCCAGAGGCTTAATGAACTGGAGGCAAGTCATTTATACACCTGGCTGTTTGATGTTGTTAGTTGAATTAAATGATTGAAGATGTTTTCACGGTCTTTGTTCTTTATGCCTCTTTGTTCCCCAGGCGGAGACTCGAGTGAAGCTTAACTATTTGGACCGCATTGCCAGGTTTTGGGAGATCCAGGCTTCCTCCTTGAAAATCCCGCATATCGAGAGGCGCATCCTTGATCTATTTGGCCTGTCAAAGGTGAACATGAACTTAATCTTTTCAAGGTAAAACGTCTGTGGCAGTGGTTCTTAAATGGGGGACATAAAGGCACTTTGGGTGGTACGTGACATTTTAAAGTATTTTTGAAAAGTAGCACCCAAGCAAAAAATCTCCAGTTAAGCATAAGCCCAAGTTTCTCACTAAATGCAAATACACTCAAGTGAAACACCGCAATATTCAGTGTTGATGGTTCTTTTTAATTAAGAATGAATTAAGGGATTTCCTAAAAAAATTTTTCTTCAGTTTCTGCTTTTATTTAAAATTAATGATTTCTTTTTGAGAACAGACCTGTGCCGCACTGCAATTTGCCCAGTGCTCAAACGTCAGGGACGGTGTTAAAAACAGAATGTTAATGTTGCATTAACACCGCTCAGTAATGAAATAGCCTGTGTAGTCTAAAACTGATGTTTTAAAAAGGGGTGTTACCTTGATTCGACGCTGATTGGTTTTGATTTGAAATTGAAACCACGTCCTGACGTAATGATTTAAGTTGACTGGTTGGAGGCGAGCCAATTTTCTTCAGCATCATTTTCCTCCTCGCTTGCAAGATGGAATCACACTTCTCTCAGGTAGGCAAAACTTTCACATGATGGTATTTGATGATTTTTATTTTTATTTTTTTACCTATAACTTGGCTTCCACATCAGTTTTCTTGATCATATTGTTAAAAACAGTTGTCAAAAGTTGTATTTTGTGTGATGTCATGCAATTACTTGGGCTACACGCCCAGTCGGGTTAATGAATATGATATTTAACATGTTTTGGTTGAATACGGTGTGTAGGCAAGCTTGAGCAGGGGTAGGGAACTCCGGTTCCTTAAGAGCCATATGCTGCCTGTTTTAGATCCCTCCTTAATCTGATTCAAACAATCAGTTCATCAGCAAGCTATGTAGAAGCCTGAAATGATTATGATCAATTGAATCAGGTGTGTTGGAGTAGAGAGCTCTAAAGCAGGCAGGATTTGGCTCTTGGGGAATCGGGGTTCTCTACCCCTCCTAGCAGCTAGAGTGTTGAACTGCATGTGACTTTTTGGGGGACTGCTGAGGACTCCATTCAGTCAAATCTACATCAATTGTCTGCTGCTTGACAAACAATATGCCTAATCTCCAAATGTCCTTGAAGGAATTCGATTGTACTTAAGTTTTGGTGTGAAAAGTTAACGTCCGCATTATCTATGTCTGTGGAATTGTCACACACTTCCCCAATCTGGGAGACAAGGCCTCATCGATTCAAATTTATGTATTGACTTGCAAAAAAAAAAAAAAAATCCTCAGATTTTCTCATTTGGCGATGTAGGCCTACAGGAAATAGGCTCCACTGTGTTATGTTGTTGTATCCATATTCTTCTGTTTGTTTCATAGCCAAGTAATTTTGAAGCTGGTTCAAAGACTCTGCAAGACCACCTGTCATCTGAACAGCCATCAGGTGATTAAAGCTTGTCCATGATGAAGTGTTCGTCCAAGCCAATGTCAAAGTGTTAAAATAAAGCCAACGTTCACGCACAGACAGATGCAACACTGTCCCGACCAGGGGTTTGCATCTTGTCCAATATCTAATGTCCACTATTGCCACTATATCCTGGGTGAAAACATGTGGAACTGAATGCCAGAATGGAATGTTTGTGTCGGTACGGAAAATGTTAACATCTTCATAACAATAAGTCATTTCTTTTGACCAAAAATGTTCTTAGTTTCGGTATTGATTACCTGTAAGCATTTAGAATAGAGGAGGATTTGTTCACAGTTATTGGCATGTCTGACCTGATTTTGTCATTGTCATGATGGACAGTTTTTACATAAATGATGAAAGAACATGCATTGTATCCTACTGCTGTCTGAGGACCTGTCTGAAATGTATTTAATAAAAGAAATGTGACTTAAAATTTTGTAATGTTTTATTTATGACCGTGAGGCATGGGGTATTTTTTTCTGATATTGTATAGTGTTGGCATGTCCACTGTGTGCACAACATTCAGTTTTAAGTCTTGGCTGAAAAAAATATTTGACAGAGGGTGCTTCATTGAAAAAACGTTGAGAACCACTGGCCTATTGTTTATCTTGATGCCTTGTCGAGTTGTCCCGATCTGATCACGTGACTGGAAATGACAGAAATTTCTGCTGATCTGTATTAGCTCAAACGTGGATATTTTTTTTTTTTTTTTTTTTTGTCATCTTGATTTTTATCGGTCACAAAGCGACAAATTAATCCAAGGGTATAAAGATTTTACTAAATGGAACAGCAGTCACTGTTAAAAGTTAATTTAAGTGTGTTTTAGAACACAGTATCTTTTTTTCTTAAGTACCAATAGTTCAAGAATAACAGAGCAAAAATACTTACATCCAACTTTTATATGAACTGCTTATAATCGAGGGGGTCACGGGATAGGTGTGGGTATTTGAATATGGGTCGTTCTCTGAAAGTATGGTCCAGAAGTGTGACATGGGAGCCGACAAATAAATGTATCAAAATGATGCGTTTTAAGTCAAATCCTCTTCTGTGTGCTCTGAATAAACTTTACTGACCCCTTTGCTCGCAAGACATTGACTGTCATGGTCACCTCCATTGTGTCACTTTGGAGCATTTGTTACCAAGCACCGAGTGTTCAAGTGAAAAAAAATGTATGTATTATTACATTTAAACATCTTCACTACCTTAAAGATATTCAGTTGAAAACTGGTACAAATGACCAATTGTAGGGTGAAAATTAACTAAATGGTAAAGAATGCCCATCAGTTACATGGTGCTACAGTAGACACAAAGGAATTATCAGTACCGTATTTTCCGCATTAAAATGCGCACTGGATTATGAGGCGCACCTTCAATGAATGGGCTATTTTAAATTTTTTTTCATGTATTGGACGCACTGGATTATAAGGCGAAATCTACAATGCATCCACTAGTTGGAGCTATGCTCCCTTTCGACTCAAGAGGCGTTCATGACCACCTCCGAAAAACGTAAATTAACGATTCCTTCAATGAAACTATGAACATTGAAAATAATGGATCAAAACAAAAAATCAAGCGAGGAAATCACAAAATAAATTCTATAGCCCCCCTTGGCATTTTCTTGAGCGTAGCTCCAACAGAACAATCATATGTCAGTACAGTATAATGTAGGAAATCAGATGTCAGTAAAATGTAGGAGACTGGACTGTCTCAGAAGTGTTTCTTATTAATTACTTTGTTGTGTATTCACAAACGAGGAAATCACAAAATAAATTATGTCGGGGGGGCCATAGAATTTATTTGTGATTTCCTCGCTTGATTTTCTGTTTTGATGCATTATTTTCAATTTTCGTAGTTTCATTGAAGTAATCGTTAATTTACGTTTTTCGGAGGTGGACGGAAGAAGAGAAGGCACAGAGACGGACAAAGACGTACCTGTATTTGTTGAGCCTGTGAAAACCATTAAGTTTAAAAAAAAAAAAAACACACCACAGCTCTCCTTTTTCGGAGCTACAACAAATCTTATTTAATAAAGCGGCGACACAGTTCACTGAACCAACAGCAAGTTATAACAGCGTAAGCATGTCTCCAGCAAGAAGCCATTTTGGGGTCGACATATTACTGTAATGACCGTACACAAGGCGCAACGGATTTTAAGGCGCCCTGTGCGCTTTTAAGAAAATGGAAGACTTTTCGCTTCGCCTTATAGTGCGGATAATACGGTATTTGCTTCGTAAAATACGTCATTCCAACAGTTGAACTGTGTGCCGTTCAAATGCTGCCGATTCGCATGCAAGAATTAAGATATACTAAATATATAGTCTGTGCAACTGGTTTGAAATAATGTATCTATTTAGTTATTTTTTGGTTTGTTATCACTAAAAAGGACACCATGCTTGAGACACAGTTTACTTGGTCAACGTAGAATGAAGCAAAAGAGTTTTAAAAAAAAAAATTAACATCGTATTTTGCAGCGAACAAAGTGAACTTCTGGATCGGCATACTTAGGTCATCTGGCTATAACAATACAGTCAGTTACGGTAATAGGTATTGAGTGGCACCTTCTAGAAGCATTGTGGTAATGAATTTATCCCTTTTTTATGGCGATGTATCATCAATTATAAACAGCATTGGACACCAAACGGTATTGTGTTGCAATTAAAATTCTGGCAGTTTATTGGTGGTAACTGTTTTTGAAGCTGGAAGAAAGACGTCTTAATTGAATGGGTGCGTTGCCATGCCACGTTGAGCAAGTGGTCGCAAGGGCTATTTTTCACCACTCAAAATACATTCCCACACAAACGACAGCACAAAAGTCAGTTAAGTTGTTTAACTTGATCTCCGCTGTATTTCTGCAATTTTCTGAGCAGTGAAATCCGGCAATTGAGCTGTAGAATGCATTTTGGATAAGACTCTTTATTGGCAGATCTTCAAGTGACTGGACTTCGCCTGTTGCATTTAAAAAAAAAAAAAAAGTTTTTGGATGTCCCTAATGCCTTGCTTGGTGTTCCAGGTTGTGTCTGATGAAGGCGGTTTTGAGATGGTCTGCAAAGAACGACGCTGGGCCCGTGTAGCTCAGAGACTCGGCTACCCTCCTGGCAAGAACATCGGTTCTCTTCTGCGCTCGCATTATGAGAGGATTGTCCACCCCTTTGAAATGTTCCAGTCTGGTGCCAGCTTGCCGGTATCACTCAATGCTCACCTACTTTTTTATTTTTCATTTGGGGGCGAGGGGTAATAAAGGTCTGTGACAAAAATCACTTTCAAATTTTCTCTTTGATGGATTTCACAGCATTGCAAGCCAAAGCACTACGATGGTGAGGAAGTGGACAAGGAGTACAAGCCCCACTCCATCCCTCTGCGTCAGTCTGTGCACCCATCTAAAATGAGCAGTTATGGGCGCCGAGCGAACCGCTGCCAGCCAGATGTAAGTCAAAGTGCTGAGTAATCAGTTGTGATAATGATCATATTCTGTAGTCATTACGTGATCATACGTTGAGGATTACATATTCATGTTTCTTAACTGGTAAAGTTTTACATGATTGTGTTAGGAGCAAGTCACTTATTCAAAGAGGCTTATTACTGCAAATTTCCCCATTGTGGGACAAATAAAGGTTTTCTTATCTTATTTCTAAACTGTGGCACAGTACAAATGTGAAATTGACTTGCCGCACTATTTTCAGTAGCCTTCAGTCTGTCCTGAAGTAAAACAGCTGATGTCCAACAGTCCTTAATAATCAGTTTAACTGTTTATTTCCTTTGCATGTCATTGTTTTATGTCAAGCTAACTTTTGAGTTTCCAGGAATTCCGTTAGTTTGACTGTGGTTTCCTGATCACTGAAACACACATTGGTTATTTAATTCATGGAACTTGATTTGGAAAGGAAACACATGGTTTTCTATGATGTACGAGGTGTGTCAAAGGTTCCAGGACTGGTTTCACAGAAGGTATTTCAAATCCAAATTGCAAGATGTCCTCTTGGAAATAATCTCACGAGAGGCTAACACATCCTCACAGTCTTCACTGCCTCTGCTGGAAGGATTCTTCCAGGATCCTCGGCATTGCGATCATCACAGCCATCTTGATATTGTCCACATCTTTAAAACGGAACCCCTTGGTTGGCCTTTCTTGAGCTTGGGAAAGAAGAGAACACATTTCACTGAGCCAGGTTGGGTAAGCAGACAGGGTGCTGCAGAGCAGCGAAGAAATGTCTGATGCTCAAGATGTGAGGGGGCGCGTCGTCGTGGTAAGACCGCCACATTATATGCGAACGGCACGCAAGTAGAAGAGGGACTGAGCCTCTGGTGACACCTGCTGTTATATCTGCCCTGCGTCACTCAGGGGTCATTGATTTCATCATTGCTATGCATAATTGGCCACTCCTTGCTGTTAGTCACTGCCTCCAGCATTCAGCAGGGATGAAATGTAACTGCAGGATCAGTTTATGGATGTGCTCCTGGATCATCTACCTCGCATTGCTGAAAAAAACTAGTTTGGTTTTGAAGTACAGCGTATATGTGACACCAGCCCTGGAACTTTCCAACACTGCGGCGTTTTGTTAGACACTACCATCTTACAGCGGTGCCTTGCGATACTGAAGTCCTGACTAAAGAGTATTTTGAGATACAAGCTGTCATCTGGCTGATTCCACCCACCCTCTATTGACTTGCTGTGCTAAACCATGAGATGTCAGCACTAAAGCCCATATCCCACTCAACGGTGAACATTTGTGACTGTTGGTAAAGGGAGCAATATGCACATTAGTTAAATTTAGTAAATGTTCCGCAAAAGGTTCGCCAGGTGTCCCTCAACTGTTTGTTTTTTCTTATCGCTAGGAAATTTTGGTCATGTTCAAAATTCTCTCGACAAGAAAAGTACGGGCAAACATCTGGCGACCAATTAGTGATCATTTGCGACCTTGAACGAACTCCGGCGAGAATGCAACATTCGTAAACACTCGCAAATGTTCACCACTCAGTGGGATAGGGGTCTAAATGATGGCAATGAAATCAATTCGTTCACTTCACAATAATCAACAATTTGGCAAATAGTTAACAATTCACCTAAAAATGGCATTTCCATTTGATTCAGTAAGGGAAGATGGTTTGAGATACAAGTGTTTTGAGTTATGAGTGTGGACATGGAGTAGATTCCTATGTCAAGGCACCGTTGTACAAGTACTGACAGAGCAACTAATAAAAATGTCATTGAGATCTATGGATGCCAGAATAATCAATCGACCAAATGGCCTTGAATGCATCTTGGTCAATATTCCATTGGATATAGGGAATTCCTACCTCCATTAAAAAAAAATTATTTATGGCGCTTGTGGCAAGTTATGTCAGTCCTTGGTCTGCCATTGTTGTTCAGTGGTTGCGTAATGATGGAACACAAAAACCGCAGCCACCTTTTGGTTCCATCCCCAAGCCATCCTGTTGCTGTCCTCTCACGCAAAATGGAAGGAAGCGGCATCTGTTGTTTTACGTTCATTTTGTCACCTGCCTGAAGCTCTATGTCCAATCTGCGTCAAGTCCTCCATATTGTGCTGATGCTGCTGTTTTGCTGTTAACTGCTCATTGCTCAATCCAGTATGTCTCTGACTGGAAGATGTGACAGTACATTCGGGTCGCATCCAAGCTTGCTTTGCTGCCATCTTGCAGTGCACCTGTGCCTTAACTTGCTGTTGTTTCTGTCTGCTTACTACTTGGTTGCATTTTCCCCAGCTACTTGAACGGAGATTTGTATCTAATTAAGAAAACTTTACAAGCAATTGTCATGTCAATTTGAAGGAAAACGATTCCTTCAATATGACATTAGGGATGATGATTGAAGAGAGATGGACAAGAGTCTGAAAATTTGGTTTTTCACCACAGATACAAGATCCAGCTCTTCCCTGACTGTCCCATCTGTCCTCTTCTTCCTCCTGGCTTAGTTTATTGTTGCTATTGTTGTGTCCCCTTGCAGGGTCCGGAGGATCCGAACCTCCATCCTCTCACCACTGGCTCTCAACTCATCACAGCGGTACTGCCTCTTGAGCATATGAGCTCACCCTGAGCCCCTACTTTATTACTTCTTTCACTTCCCACTGCACAATTCCTGTAATAATCCGCGTTTAAAAAAAATATATATATATATATATATATATATATATATATATATATATTTTTTTCCCATTAACACGTAATATCGACAACATTTCTCACTCTCTGGTACATTTCTCACTCTCTGGTAGGGATGCCACACTTAACGTGGCTCTTTCTGACAGGGTGGTGTGCACAGTTGTATCGTAATAAGGTAGTTGAATCACATTTTAACACGAGTGTCCTCATTTACCTGCCCAGACTTTGGCAATGGCTGTTGGGGTTACTCCAATTTCCAGGACTTTAAAGAGAAATCAATATACGGGTTTTTGTTTTGTTTTTTTCTGGGTCCTTAGTTGTTTTGTGATATCTCCAAGTAGTTTGCCATTTTGCCTGCCATTCATACTCAAATGAGCTGTGAATCATACACAGTTTTCATTTTATAGCCAGATGTCAACTTCTGACTGATTATATTTTTGTCATTTTTAGTTGCGCTTAAAATTCTCGAAGTTGGGTTGCCCAACTGTGATCTTTGTCAGATTGTTTTGCCATTGGTCTAGCTGCAGTGCACCAAGGCTCACTTCGGCTGAAGAAGCTAGGTTTTCCTTCATAGTATTTGAATCTGTGTCATGGTTGATACCATGAATTATGAGTGCATCAACTTACCCTCAAGGCTATGAAGAGTGACTTTCCTGGTCCTAACTTACCAACCAGAAAAAGTGTTATCACATCTGGTCAGAATGAAAGGTTGCATTTTGACTGCACATCAAATATTTGTTGGACAGACGGGGAAGGGGAAAAACAGGAACAATGCACAGCCTTACCTCCACCTTACCTCTCTCTCGGTCCAGACATTATTAGAGGTACCAAGAACAAAGCGCAGGCTCAGAGGGGATCGAGCCTTTTCCGTTGCTTGTCCCTGTCTTTGGAATGACAACCGAACATTCGGCAAGCCCCCTCGCTGCCCATCTTTAAAACTCGTCTCAAAACTCATTTTTATTCTTTAAATTTTGGCTCAGCATGACTCAGACTTGATTTTTAGTTGCACTGTTTTTGCGCTTTCTACTATCTTTGTTGTTAATTTGTTTATTGTTGTATATATGCTCTCATGTACAGCACTTTTTAAAGTGCTCTATAAATACAGTTAAGTTGAGTGCAGCTTGTTTTAGAATGCCTTATATATAATGGTTGCTTTCTGCATATGGTGTATTTGGGCCTATTTTCCAAGCTCTATTTTCAGTTAAGTTAGTGTGGGTCTCGTTGCTTTTTAAACCGTTGTCTACTTTTGTGCTGCAGAGCTCATGAGAGTATTGTTCATTTTGTTTGACCCCATATTAATGGACTACATGGACATAGAGTGTATCTGGAAAGTATTCAATTAAAGTTTTTCAAAAGAAGATTTTTGCAAATGTATGGAGAAATAAGAAATGACATGTCGTGCAGTATTCACAGCTTTTGCCATGAAGCTTGTGTTGGCGCTCGATGGTATCGTTTCCACTGATCATTCTTGAGATATTTTGATCGCTCATTTGGTGTTTAAATACAGTTGGTCAGACATGATTTCAAAAAGCACACCAGATAAGGTCCAACATAAATACAGTTGGTCAGACATGATTTCAAAAAGCACACCAGATAAGGTCCAACAGTTTGTTGTCCATGTCAGAGTGCAACTCGAGCAAAAATTGCCTCTAGACCTCCCAAGGCACCGATGTGGAGATAGGCACAGAACAATTTCTGCTGCTTTGAAGTTCCCAATGAGCACAATGGAAGAATGGAAGTAGTTCTGAACCACCAGGACTCTTCCTAGAACTGGCTGCCCATCCAAACAGAGCAATGAAGTCCGCATGGTGACCAACAACTTGGTTACCTTGTCAAAAATCCAGTGTTTCAGGCAGATAACCATATCGACTCTGCAGCAGCCCACCAGTTAGGCCTGTACTGTAGAATGGTTAGACAGAAGCCCCGCTAGTAAAATGCACATAACAACCTGCCGGAGTTTGCATTAAATCACCAGAAAGATTCTCAGTCCACAAGAGGCAAAAACCTCCGCTCCGATAAGACAAAGATTTAAGTCTTTGGCCTATGCCAGACGTCATGTTTCGAGGAAACGAGGCACCTCTCATCATCTGGCTAATAGTGTCCCAACAGTGAAGCATATTGGTGGCAGCATCATGCTGTGGGGATGTTGTTTCGCTGCAGGACTCTGGAGACTTGTCAGGATTGAAGGAAAGATGAATGCACGAATGTAGAGAGACATTCTGGATTAACGCCTGCTCCAGAGCACTCTTGACCTCATACTGGGGCGACGGAATATCTTTCAGCAAGAGACGGACGGATCTTCCAAATGCAGCTAAATCAAAGGAGTCGTCTAATTTGAACATCTGAAAATGGCTTTGCACTGCTGACGCTCTACTATCCAACCTGAAGGAGTTTAAGAGGTGCTGCAAAGAGGAATCTGCAAGCCTGCTCGGAGATGTGCTAACCTTCTGGCATCAAAAAAACTTTAGGCTGTAATTTCTGCCAAAGGTGCAACAATGTAATTTCTGCCAAGGGTACAACAATGAAGTACTGTGCAAAAGCAGTGAATACTTTCGTATGTGATTTCTTAGACATGCAAAATTCTCTATCCATCTTGTTGTTGTGTGTAAAATTTGGACCGGAAAAATTGAAACGATTCAATTTTGTAGTCTAGCGTTAAAATAAAACACTGTGGAAAGTTACGTTATTACTCCCTGGATTTGGATTTGTTGAACTGATGCGCGGTGTAAAGATCATTTCATGACAAATGAAAGCATTTGAATGTTTTTTTGGAAATGGAAGATGGTGTGTTATGGTCGCATAATTTTAAACAAATGTTTGACTTTTTCAGTACTAGAGTGATAAGATGGATCACACCTCCTTTATACTGCAGTGGCATGTTTCCATGTCTGTTGAATTAATTTAAAGTGGTTTTGTGAATCATCAGTGTTCTAGTTATGCTTGTAGCTTCTTTGGAATCTATGTTTTGGTGATGGGTCCTAACTTTCAAGCTTTCCTTATTGTCTAACCTAGCTAGAATAACCCCATTTTGCACTGCTTGTGATCTTGATTTTTGTCAGCATACGGCCACACTGCTTTGCTCTGTGTGCTTTGAAGAGCAGCGGCAGCCTGTCCATTCTTTCCTGATGACCGTGTCCTTTTACTTATTCTCAGCCCGAACCTACTGAGGAAGACATAGAGAAGAACCCAGAATTGAAGAAGCTGCAGATCTATGGCGCCGGGCCCAAGATGATGGGACTTGGACTTGTTGCACGAGACAGAGGCATTAGGAAGAAGGGTAAGAGATACACAACTTCAATCCTTTATGCATTCCAATGACTACTTTTAATCCTTTCTTCCAGATGAACTGCCTCAAACTGTGACTGTCATGGACAGTACACCATCTGTTCCTGGTGTCACTTGTGTAAAAGGGGAGCCTCTGCTTACACAAGACAGACCAACCGAAGAGTGCTCTGCCACCCCCCAGGATTCCCCTGCCAGCATCCCGGTCAAAACAGAAGTCAAAGCAGACGTCAAAGCAGAAGTCAAAGCAGAGGCCAAGTCCGAAGTGAAGACTGAAGTTAAGAGAGAAGAATTGGAAGAGCATCTTCATAAAGAAAGTCGCCAACATTTTACAGATGGTCCATGCACCAAAATGACAATGAGGCTACGACGCAACCTCAACAATATGCAGAGTGTAAGTAACCAAAGGAAGATCCACCCAGATAAATCATTTATGAATCCTTTTTGAGCGACCATCTTCAAAAGTAAAAATCAACCATTATGATTGACTCCAAAGATCGCGATAAGTTTGAGGGAAATTTGCTGTAGACAACAGCGCCTAATTGAGTTCTCGTACAATCAATTGAAACATGGAGCAATCAAAACACTGAACAAAAGACATATTTACAAATTATGTTGTATGAAATTTCTTAAGTTGGACCTACTCTGTGAATTAGTATTCTATGCTGGAGTATCACATGATGGATGTTTTGGGAGAAGAAACCTGTGTCCATGAATGAAATATGAAGAATAACACATTGACTATTGTAACGAATATTGTAATCTTGTAATATTTTTAGCCACTACTACTCAGAGGAATCAAGCATTGTCTCAATTTTGGAATGTTTTAAATAATATGCCCATTTACCTCTAAACACTGAAGCGCGTTCTGTCAAAGGTGGATTCCTTTGTGTGTCGGATGTGTGGTCGCGGAGATGACGACGAGAAACTCTTGCTGTGTGATGGTTGTGATGACAACTACCACACTTACTGTCTGCTGCCCCCTCTCACTGATCCTCCCAAAGGCAACTGGCGATGCCCAAAGTGTGTTGCCGAAGTAAGTTGTAGCTTAATCAAAGAGAAAAAAAGCTCTGCTGCATGACGAGGATCCCATCAGATCAGACTTATTCCTGATATGCATGATTTTTGCAGGAGTGCAAGAAGCCTTCAGAAGCGTTTGGCTTTGAACAAGCAACTCGTGAGTACAGTCTGCAGACTTTTGGGGAGATGGCCGACGCTTTCAAAGCAGATTACTTCAACATGCCTGTCCATGTAAGGACACTCGCAAACTACTGAGAAGTGTGGCTCTGCTGCAATGATGAGAGAGAGAAGGGGGTTCATCTTTGTGTGCTTCCCTTGTAGATGGTTCCCACCGAGCTTGTGGAGAGGGAGTTCTGGAGGTTAGTTAGCAGCATTGAGGAGGATGTGACTGTCGAATATGGAGCAGATATCCACTCCAAAGAGTTTGGCAGCGGCTTCCCAATGAACAATGGCAAGAGGATTCTGACAAAAGAGGAGGAGGTGTGCTTGCTTGTTTTGTGACATTTGTGACAGTGCAGTGCCTATGGCTCCCCCTTAGAAAAGCAAAACTTTGACATTTCCATACCAGGGAAAGAAAAGTTAGTAGTTCCTTTCAAATGCCTGTAGTTTTGTTTATCCCAGGTCTATATAAAAATTACCACCAGTAATACATTGTTCAAGTTAACAATAGTCATGGATGTGCATTCTTTTTAGTTAGACTGAATATCTTGGAATGTCTTGGAGGCCTTCAAATTTTTATTGGACAATTATAACTCAATTATTGGTCATTTGAATTATGAGGTCCACATACATATATCACCATGTCCATACCTTTCTTTTCATCATCATCAGACTGCGTAGAATATAATAGTAGAAACCACTGAGTAACCCACACACAATGAATACAGTTGTGCTACATTATGCAAGTCCAGGCAAACTCTTAAGTGATTCATGCCGTTCAACCTGTGCATCTGTCAGGACTACGCCCGCAGTGGCTGGAACTTGAATGTTATGCCCGTACTGGAGCAGTCTCTCCTGTGCCATATTAATGGCGATATCTCTGGCATGAAGGTGCCTTGGCTTTATGTTGGCATGGTATTCTCCGCTTTCTGCTGGCACATTGAGGATCATTGGAGCTACTCCATCAACTACCTGCACTGGTACAGGACGCACTGTGTTTGTTTGTTTATTACTTTCAAATAAAGTGGGACCTTGAATACTAACATGATTGATCGTCGACAGGGGCGAACCCAAAACCTGGTATGGAGTACCTTCAGTAGCTGCTGAGCGACTAGAGGGGGTGATGAAGAAACTGACTCCCGAATTATTTGAGTTCCAGCCTGACCTTTTGCACCAGTTGGTCACAATCATGAACCCAAACATCCTCATGGCTCATGGTGTACCGGTCAGTATCTTTATGTGCACATTCTGTAGTCTGAATTTGGACCATTTATGGGACTGCTTTTTGACATGATTGATTGGTGAAATGACAGGTTGTCAGGACCAACCAGTGTGCCGGCGAATTTGTCATCACTTTCCCCAGAGCATACCACAGTGGTTTCAACCAGGGATATAATTTTGCAGAAGCGGTCAACTTCTGTACAGCAGACTGGGTAAGTGTCCAAATGCAGTTCTCCAGAAGTGAGACTTGACAATCAGGATGACGTCACTGTTTGGATGTTTTCTTACAGCTACCTGCCGGTCGTTCCTGCATTGAGCATTATCGACGTCTACGGCGGTATTGCGTCTTCTCTCACGAAGAGCTCACTTGTAAAATGGCAGCCAGTCCAGAGAAACTAGATCTTAATCTTGCTGCAGCGACACACCGGGAAATGTTTATTATTGTTCAGGAGGAGAGAAAGCTCCGGAAAGCTCTGATGGAAAGGGTAAGAGTCTGCAAAAATGTTGATCTCTTCTTGGAATCCTTTTTCTCTGCTTTGAGTTTGTCATATATTCATTTGCTCTAATAGACTGGTCTGCAAAAAAAACAGAAAGCACTCTTGACGAAAGTCTCAACGTGTATTCTGCATGCAGGGCATCACTGAAGCAGAGCGGGAGGCGTTTGAGCTGTTACCTGATGATGAACGACAGTGTGACAAATGCAAGACAACGTGTTTCCTCTCAGCACTGGCTTGTTCAACCTGCCCCGAGCGTCTGGTGTGCCTATATCACACTCAGGATCTGTGCAACTGCCCCATTGACAAACTCTACCTCAGGTGCTTGCACTGTTTTTATTTTATTTTATTTTTTTTGTTTCCCTTGACATGTGGCTTCAGTAATTAAAAAGCCTCTGACTTCTGGTTTGATATCACATGCCCTGGCAAACATCAAACTGCAATCGCAGAATTACCATTTTGTGGTATGATTTGCAGGTACAGATACACCCTGGATGAGTTGTTGGCCATGTTACACCGCTTAAAGGTTCGCTCGGAGTCCTTTGATTCCTGGGCCAACAAAGTAAAAGAGGCGCTTGAGCATGAGGATGGAAACAAGATAGGTAGGAAACCACCACTCCCATTACTGACATCGTTTCGAGGGTTTCTACAGAAACGGAGAGTAGAATCGAGCTGAATGTGTGTTACCTAATTCAATTCCAGGAATTGATTACTTGGAGACACTCAAGACCGAAGCAGCAGAAAGAAAGTTCCCTGACAATGAACTTCTACGTAAACTCAACACTGTTCTCAAAGACATAGAGTACTGCCAACAGAAGAGCACTGAACTCCTTGCTAACTCAAAGACCAGGTGAGATGGAGGAAGCATATCATGCGTATTAGTCATATCAGAACATTTACTCATTTCTGTTTTTAGTGGCACAAAAATGACTTTGGCGGAACTGAAATCATTGATAGAGACTATGCAAAGCCTGCCCTGTGTGATGGGTCAACTGGACGAAGTGCAGGTAATTAACCCCATGCTCATCGAATTGACTTACAACTTCATATTTAATAAAAATAATTTGCTTTAATCAATGACATTTTTCCCCATCAAGGCGGTTCTGCAGGTGGTGAGCGATTACCAGAGCCGGGCTCAGGAATTGGTCAATGACCGCGACTGGAGGAGGAACTCTGCACCAGCAGAGCTGTTGCAGATGTTACTGGATCAAGGAGCTCAGCTGCCTGTCGTGGTGCCAGAGTGTAATCTGCTTCAGGGCCTTCAGGAGTTGGGGCGCTGGCTGGCAGAGGTCAGGCGCACTTTGGGCACAGAGGGGGGCGAGAGACCAGAGGTGACGTTGGCAGTGTTGAGAAATCTGATTGAGGCAGGCTGCAACGTGCCTCAGAGTGCATCTGTGGATACAGCCATGGCAGAACTGCAAGAGCTGCTCACTATTGCGGAACGTTGGGAGGAGAAAGCGCAGATCTGTCTTGAACAAAGGTGCGCTTGCATAAATATGGAGGAGTATGGGTGGACTACGCATCAACTTGCCAATTTTCTTCCCCAGGCAAAAGCATCCTCTCTCAACACTGGAGGCGATTGTGAACGAGGCCCAGCTTATACCTGTGAAGTTGCCAAACATTCAAGCTTTGCAGGGCTGTCTAAGCCGCGCACGTGCTTGGGTAACAGACCTGGAGGAAATCCAGGTAAAATAGCACCGGTGTCTGTTCAAGTGGTTGGTGTAATTCGGGCTTGTGTCAGAATGCTTTGGGTTTTTGGCAACTTGTCATAGAATGGGGAGCATTACCCGTGCTTGGATGATTTGGAGGGCCTGGTGGCCATTGGACGGGACCTGCCCGTCTTCATGGAGGAGCTGCGACAGCTGGAGCTCCAAGTGGCGAGCGCTCACTCCTGGAGGGACAAGGCCACCAAGACCTTCTTGAAGAAGAGCAGTCAGCACAGCCTACTAGAGGTGACCTTCTACTAAGAATGCCTGCTGTGTGCCAAGCAACACGGCTGAGCCTGAATAAGCTGTAATGCAGTGTGCGGGTTTCAGCAACTTTATTGGCATTGCAATGTGACAAATGTAACGACTAACCAAAAATGCACTGAAGCTTTCACACACAAACAAAAAACAATATACACCCTCAGGTTTTGAGCTGAAGGTAGATCTCACCAGGCACCGCCAAGCCGTAAAATACTGTATTTTCACGACCATACGCATTAAAAGGTGTAGTGTCAGTTACGGATGCTATTTCTGTATTTAACACATAAACAGGCCCCGTGTTATTGGACACAGGCATGGTAAAATGTATGCTGGTTTCAACAATACGGTAGCATGCAAGCACACTAGCGTATGTTTTTAAAAAGGCACGGGGAGCAAAACTGAGTTCGGTTGTACTTTATTGAAGTATTTAACGATGTACTCGCATTATTTTTTTTGATCAGTCTTCATCATCGAATCCATCAAAGCTCTTGTCATTTGTCGCCAAAATGAACAGATCGCAACTTCACTTTGGCCAATTCTGTCCAATACCATGGCAACCAAGCACAACAGTAAAAGCCTACTTCATGCGCCCTGTTGTGCATATCGCTACTGTGGTGGTCCCCGTGTTCTCCAGTGTGGTGCACCGGGATGTTGAACGTGAGCATGTTGATGTGGTTGGGCTGGATGTGTTTGTCGGCAATGTTTTTGTTTTCAGGATCTTCTTTTGCACGTACTATGTACACTTACTGGGGGCATACATTTAGCGTCCTCTTCCAACTTTAACATCCTCATGCTGTACTCAGTAACATCCGCCTTTCCTCGCTATAAGCATTGTGTCAGCACAACATCAGTCTGTCAAGCGGACCCGTCAGTGAACTCACACAACAGTATTCATAGATTTTGGAACTCTTGTGTATACACAAGGCGACCCACATTATTAGGCACCTCATCCATTTTGGAGAAAATTTAAGACGTTTAAGTGCACTTTATGGTCGTAAAAATACTGTATATACAGTTATATGGGAGTATAATTTCATGTGTACCTGTGGATGAAATACTTAGGCCTGCAGTCTCTGTCGCCAAAATGCGTGTGAGCGAAGTATGAAGCTCACCCGGTACATTCAGCGAATGGGGTAAGGCAGCCTCTCAAAATATCCACGCGAGCGCCTTTAATCCTACCCACTTTTGTCTTTGTGGCAACCTGCTTCTTCCTTTACCAGCACATCATGTTTTTGTGGTTCAGTAAAGGACAGTAAAGTACGTTCGCATGCAGTCTAAAAACCTGATAGAGGGTTGCAATTTTATGTTGCAGTGCATTGGAAGGGAAGAATTGGAGTGTGATCCTCGTCATTTTTTTCCATATTGGTCAATTCGAGTTGGGTTCGGCCGTGTTGCATGGTGTGCTAAGGATTAAAGTCTCAAAATATTCATTGATTTTTTTGATAGCAATTGAACTTGTTTTGAAAGTTGTGATTTCAATCTGAGTCAAGATAATCGTGATAATTATTTTTCCCATAATCGTCCATTGATTCACAAATTAGTTTCACTTTTATTTTTTTCATAGTACCTGTCCTTCAGTATTTGCTCAAAACTCACTCTTTTGGTTTTGTGCTCTTTCTGAAAAGCCTTAAAATGCCACAAGATGGCATCAAAGTACCGGCTAAAGAGGAAAGTAGTGCAGTAATTGGTGGGAGGAAATTTGTTGATGTAATATCGTGTGTTGTGGAAGAGCTAAGCTTTGCCTGAATTGTTAAGGAGAATCTTCATCACATGCCTGTGGAGTGGCACTTTTTATTCCTTTTTTGAAAGAAAATCATGGATGGTAATTTTGTAATGTGCTTTTAAAATATTACTGGCCTTACAGTTTGTGCAACATTTACCATCTAAATGATTAATATAGGTAATTGCAACTGAGTTTTTTATGGGGCTTGCTTTGATTACTCACGACGGGGGCTCATTCCCTATCCCCCACAAAGAGCGGTCCCAGATTGTTGTGAAGGATTAAAAAAAAAAAAAAGAAAAACACCAAGTTTTGCCCTGCAGGTTTTGTGTCCATGCGCTAAAAGGAGACACAATGAGACATTAGAGGATGTGGACGACTGTGATACCAACACTCTAGGCCTATCCGCTCAAGACCTTCGAGACCCTGCAGCTATTGTGAGTTATGTTGCACAACATCGACCATCGGCTGTGCAGGTTTTCATGTGTGTGTCTGAACTTGTCTTTTCTCTAGGTGGTGGCCTTCAAAGAAGGGGAGCAACGGGAGAAGGAGGCACTACTGAGGTTACAGAAAGTCAACATGGGGAAGACTGGACTTAATACAGGAGATTACAAGGAGGGCAAGGGGACGTCGGATGATCTCATGGAAACGGACTCTGCAATCTGTATGAAAGAGAACGGGAACTCCCACGGCGCCTCCTCTGTTCAGACGGTGTGCGTGTGTGCTGGTCAGCCACGAGCACCTCAGTTACGCTGCCACCTGTGCAAGGACTGGTTCCACGGTGGCTGCGTTCCCTTCCCCTCGCTGCTGCCCTCTTGTGGACCGCCGGGTAACCCGCGCTGCTGGTGGGACTGGGACTCGCGCTTTCTGTGTCCGCGGTGCCAGCGCTCGCGGCGCCCCCGTCTGGAGACTATCCTAGCGTTACTGGTGGCCTTGCAGAGGTTGCCCGTGCGCCTGCCCGAGGGCGAGGCGCTGCAGTGTCTCACGGAGCGAGCCATCACATGGCAGGGTCATGCCAAGGAGGCACTGGAGACCCCCGAGCTGCAACAGGCCCTTGAGACGCTCCAAGAACTCAAAGAAACCCCCCCTTGTGACAAAGAGGAGGAAAGTCCACAGAAAGACGCAGACTCCAGCTCAGTCATTGTTTTATCCGACTCGGAGGGAGGTGAAGGAGAGGACGGAATCATTGATCTGACGGAAGATTTCCCTAAAAATAAATCCAAGGAGTCCAATGGCATTGAGGTACACCTGAAACTATCGGTTCTTGGGAGATTAGCACCCCTTCACAATTCGAATGCGCATGAAGTTACGGTTATAGTACATCATTTATATCGTGCTATCAATTGAATCCCTTCAGAGTAACTGCTTACATCGACATCCAATATTAAGTGTGAAAATTATTCCAGAAGTGTCTCTAAATGGGTAAAATGGTTCCTTCGCGAAGCTAAATGACCTACAATTATAACATAAATAATTTAGCTCTAGCCAACTTTCATTAAAAAATAAAGTATACTTCAGTGCTACAATATGGGCAGGAAACGCTGTAAGATAAAAAGCACTGGGCGTTTAATTGACGAAGTTCAAAAAAACAAAACCAACAGAATTCCACGCTCTGGTCACCACATTCTGACATTACTATAACGGTACACTGCCTTTTTTGTCAAGTGGCCTCACAAAGGAATCTTGTATCGGGTTGGACCTGGAATCAATGTTCCAGTACTCTCAGAATCTTTGAGATTTTAAAATGTCTGTGCTAAATTTCAATTCGTTGTGAGTCCGTGGAAGAAGTACAAACAAAAAAACATCAATAGAAAATGTGTCAGCTTGATTCGCAGCCCCTCCCCACCACCGGAGCCAAGGCGCGGCAGCGGCAGCTCGGTTGAGTCCCAGCAGGTGGCGAAGCTTGCACTCCGAGCTGGAAGACGCCGAACACCGACAAAGACTGTCCAATGAAAAATGTGTGTGCGATAATACACACCTGGAATAAAGCAGAAAGTGTGTGCAAGCATCAAGCTCGCAAGTTGCGCACACCACTCAGTGGGGGATCAAAAGTGGAAAACAAAATATGCACTCTTCTGCTCAGTGCAACACCTTTCTCAAAATAGTATCGTGCAAAGGAGGATGCAATTCAAATATGATGAAACGTCTCTGGAGTCATGAAATAGTTTGTGTGTGCCGCATCTTCGACCTTCCTGTGCTGCCTAACTTGGGGTGAGATTGCGCAACCTTTGACCACACTAGTCAAAATCGGATCAGTAAATCAGTAAAGTACTTCTTTTGCCAACATTGAGCCTGTAAGTTAGACTGTCCAGCTAATACTTAGCCTAACATACATGCATGCACAGTGCAGACACAGACGGCATGTTTTCGTAGACTGCTTCGATGAGATACATTTTCCCTACAACCCCCTCAAATATATCTTTTTGTCGAGGGTTTTTTTTTGTACAGAAAAACAGCACGACATTACCCCATAAATGGGTGTTCAGTCACACTTTAATGATTGTATTTTCTTGAAGTTCTCAAGTTCATCGGATTGATTGGATTGGATACAACTTTATTGTCAAATGTGCTGTATGTGTAACATACATTTGATGTTAATATACTGGTTAAAAATAGCCCTTTGGAGAACTTCAGCGGGATGTGTCCGGCATACCTCACCAGGGACATGCCCGAGCCACCTCTTCTGGCTCCTGTTAATGCAGAGGAGCAGCGGCTCGACTCTGAGTCCCTCCGGGATAACCGAACTTCTCACCTTACCTCTAAGGGAGAGCCTGGACACCCTGCGGAAGAAACACATTTCAGCCGCCTGTACCCGTGATCTTGATTTTGTTCGACAACTCGTAAGCATGGGCATAGCAGTGACAGTAGGAACATGGATCGACCAGTACATCAGAGAGCTATAATAACTCTGAACTAAATTTATTTTGTGGACCTCCAAATTAGGTGCATTGCGTTCTGCCAGTTTGAGAACAGGGAACTTGACTGGATTGATGAATGTCTGTCAATGGGCCATGAAATGATGTTTTTCTATCCGTTTGTGTGA